AACCTAAACGCGCGAACGTTCAAATTTTGCGCTCGTCGATGCGGCTCGGGGCTGTCCCGGAGCGTACGCCCTGCGCACGCGCAATCCGCGCGATCCGTTCCGCATCGTAATGTCGGCCGTCGAGCGTACCGTGGTAGGAAGGCTGCTCGCGTTTTTCGCGATTTTCTAAGTGAAACGCGCGTCGCGCTCACCCGCATCGCCGTCCAAGTGTCGTGTTATGACCGTGTGATCCGCAAGCGACGGGGATTCATTGACACGATTTGACGGAACCACTGCCATCCCCGAAGATGGGTGAGTAAACGACATGATTCGCGAACCGATCGGCGAACGCCGGCTAGAGTTCTCTCGTTTTCTATCTCGCTCCGTCGTTCTGTCTCACAATCGTTTCGCGATTCCTCTTCTTTCTTTCTCTCGTCTTTTTGTTTCCCTTCTCAGCGAAAAGACTTATAACCGGATGAGATCAGACACCTCCTTCGTGCAGAAAGAGAACAAGAGAGAAAGAGAGAGAGAGAGAGAGAAAAAAAAAGAGAGAAGGAAAAGGAATGCGGCGTCCGTTCGGCTGTTTGCGAGCGCGCCTAGATAGGAAGGGGGAGTACTACGCCCCTGCGTGGTGCAGTTTCCGTCCGATTTTCACGCTCGTCATCGTCGTCTTCGGTCCCCGACATCGGTGGCCGGCGAATGTTTTCCGAAAGGCTCGTATAGTTCGCGCGCGCGAACTCACTTGGTGGTCTATAAATAGGTGAATCCGTCGGTTTGATGTTTTCTAGGGCGAGCCCCTTGTCCCTCACATCACACACACACATATATATATATATATACGCGCGGTGCGTGAGGCAAGAGTCAATTTCTCTTTCTCTCTCTCTCTCTCCGATCTCTTCCTTTCTTCTTTCTCCCGCTCTCTTCTCCATATCTGTAAATGTACAACGCCTTACCAGCGGAAATAAAAAGTGAAGAAAGACTCGAATCATTTAAAAGAATGTTGAAAACATATGTTATAGCAAATGTTTGTTAAAACTGTATTTAAAATAGCTGAGAAAGCTAAATAAAGATCAATCAATCACAATCTTGTCCTTGTGTGTATTCCTTCCTCGCCTCCTCCTTTCTTTTCTCGTTCTGCACGTCACATTTTTACGTGACTGACCTGTTCCAAGAATTTCGTATCCTCGATCCTTGGGTTCTTTCTTTTATCTTTTTTTTTCCCTTTCCATTTAGCGAAGTATTTAATCTCTTCTCTTCTCCTGGCGCGTTCTTCGTCCTGTGCACGAAGAAAATATAATCCTTTTCTTTCTGTTGCATCGCATTCCGGATAGACAGGTTTTTCCCATAGAATCTGGCGTCGCGCGCTGTTCAACCGTCCTCTTGTTTCGCATTCACCTGTACTGTCTCGTGTCCGATAAATAAAATAACATCCCGGTTTGATCACGCGACGTGTAACGCACACACACATTTACACATTGCGCTGCGTACGTAAGTTACGTGTGAGAAGCAAAAAATTTATATAAATTATGCGTCTACAATTTTAGGAAAGACTCTCTATTGTGAAGGGATAATAACTTGCGGGATATAAAACAATTAAACGCGCTACGTCGCAGCTTCCGACCGGATGTGCGATACATCGAGACTCTCTGTTTCGACCTAATCAGCCACAACTTTGTTGTTGAAGTCTATTCAGGTTGCAACTCGTGCAAGTTGCACGAGAAGAGATGCTGCGACTGATTGCAACGCGCGTTCGACAATTCGTCCTGAATGCCGGCACGAGCGAGTACTTACAAATAGCTTTATTAATAGTATCAGGTTTTATGTGTGCGACGCTTTTTGCTCGGCTGCAACTGCAGTTAATTTACCGCCGCTGTGAATTATTCTCGAATAGAAATTTGTTTCATTTCACGTCGACAACGAATACACACGTCGGACGCAATAAACTCTCTTGATCTTATTACGATGATCGCACACACATTTCAAAGAAACAAATTTTCTTTCTCTTTTTTAAACGAGACAAAATATCGGGGCAACGAACGAGAAAAAATAATGTCAATAATCGTATTTCCGACACCCTGTCGATGACTTCGATTTAATAACGTACGCATATCTATCTCGTCTTTGCGCATCGAGTCGCACGTACACGTCGTGGCTCGTCTTCGGCTCGATCTCGATCATGTAAATTATTTGCGAGCGCAATTACGGACCGGCAGACGGACTGGTTATCTACGTGCCGACGACTCCGACGACGCCAGTGCGCTCGTAATTCGCTCGTTGCAATTGCATTTCCCACCCACTCACGCGAGCGATGCACCGCGCGCGTGGCGTTCGAGACGGCGCACCCACATACACACATACACACACATACCACAAAAGCGTCATTCTAGTTGTCTCTTACTTCTGCGCGACGCAACATTGTATTCGAAAACAATTGAATGGCTTATATACGACAAAACCAGATAATTGGATTTTGAGAACTCCCCGATAGAAAGTTTCTCCTCTCTGACGATTCTGTTATTGGATATCGACGGATTCTGCGGTGAGAGAAATAGAGAGAGAGAGCGCGCGTGTGTGCTAATCTACAATTAGATATTCCTCCTATTTGAGAGAAATCAATCGATCTTATCTGTTTTAATTAAATTCAGAGAAATGTAAGCGATTTTCTTGGAATCCGATTAGGCGGATTCAAACTCACACCTGTCATTTTCTTCCGATGCCGATTTATTTATCCGAGTATAATCAATCGCACGCGCGACGACGCGCGGATCTCGTCATTTATTCTCCGACAATCGTCGGAGCGCCCGTCCGCGCGCGGTTCGTGTTACGACAGTAACCTCGATCTGCGGTATTACGTGGCCGTCTTACTAGTGTATATACACGCGGGGAGAGACTTTACACACGTGAAACGGCATAAGCACGCGGCCATTTCACGCACGAGAAGGCGTTTACATAATAGATCAGTTAACGACGGCGCGCCGCGTAAACTCCGGACGCGAGCGGATCGACTCGCGGTATTGATCCTTTTCTTCTCGGTTTCCCTTGTACGTTGACACATTTGCGGACGAAAAGCTTCCCCCTCGGACACCCCCTCGAAAATGCCATTAGGCGAGCGTCGCATTTTGGCCGAAACTGCAAACGCGACTGATCGATACCTCTACTAGTCCTCTCCCCATTCAACCGCACACGATAGATGTTGAATCTCTCGAAGGAGAGAAAGCCCGCGAGGCGTTCGATAAGAGCCCTTTAATTGGCGTTCAACGGAAATTGACGCGAGAGCGGGAAAACGCTCGCGGTTTCGGCAATAAACTTCGGTGTAATTCTTACACACCGAACTGTCCGCGTTAAATTTCGAGAGAAGACTTCGGATGTTATTTTTATAAAAAAAAAAAATCTCGATTATCTGCACGTTATTTTAATGTACCGAGCGTATACGAGAGAATCTTCAACAAATAAATTTAAACGCGATAGGTTTAGAATATTTTTTTTTTCTCCTCTCTGACACATTTTCTAAAAATAGACCAATCGCGCGCAACGCGGGATATAATAAAAAATAACGAGAGGATGTGAACGTCGGATTGTTTATTTAAGACGTTCTTAGAGGGAAAAATTAGATTATATCTAGTTGAGGAGACACTCAACTTTGTTTTCCGCACACGCGTCCTGGATCAATATCTTACGCGCGCTTATTGGTGCGTACGATGCACATCGTGCGTTGACTGCGTCCGGAGAAGGGACTTTCTTTGACTCTTGGATATATGTAATTTAAGTCCGAAGTTACACAACGTGCAGTATAATGCTCATTTAATAGCTCGGAGATAAGATTACTTACTAAATAAGCAGCTTCCTCTTCACGGGACGCAGAAATTTAGCGGCGATACTCACAGTAGGTATCTTTTTAATTTCCGAGTCTGCTTATCTACAAGATACTTTATCCGCTCTGCTGAAACAGGGGTTTCTTTCAGTAAAAAAAAAAAAAAGAGAGATCTAATATATCGCGGACGTTATTGACGAAATTTTCAACAACAAATTGACACGATCAAATTGAAGAAAACGACGCGTCACAATAATATTACTCCAATGACAGGTAATTATATTACGTGTGCAAAACCAGTTCAAGCTGGATGAAATTAGGACACACCGCGTGCAGACGCGGTGATAAAATTATGACAGACGTGTGTCGCGTACACTTTCGAAATTAACTGGATTAAAGTCTTGCGCGAACGATTCCATTTATAAATTGGTTTTTGAATATTAGGTTCAAACTCCAGTTGCATCCGCGCTCACACGCAATTCGAATTCGCGTTATTGCACCATTGTTTTTGTTTTCTTAAAAGGAAAAGCGATTGTGTCATGTCGGAAGTCTGAAATTTCGCGTGGGTTAAACGCAGCGAATGTGGAACATACAGAGCCATGATACATCTGCGAGATATTTAAATTTATTCTGAAACGTTAACGTCGTCTTCAAATTGCAGTTTCTTCACCGGCGCGAATTTAAGCTTGTATTTGCGAAATGGTAATGCGAATCGATTCGTTTTCAATTTCTTCCTCTTGAGAATTTTAAATTTGCAAACACAAATACATTCAATCAAGGACCGCTAAAAAGCAAAACCGATCGTGCGGCGGCGGCGGCGGCGACGTACTACAAAGAACGTGAAGAGCGTGAAGAGGCGCAAAGTCGCGGGATTAGATTTCCGCAAGGTGGAGTTCGACCGCGAATTATCTGCGCCGAGGTTGTGCCGGTTGACACAATCGGGGGACTCTCCTTCGCTGGCAAGCAAATGGCAGTCGACGATCGGCAGTCGCGACGACCGTATCGCACGACGACGACGTGTCCGCCGCGCTTTGCGTCAGGTTTCCGGAGTAGCCGCTTTGAAATTCAGGTCAGCTGGATCGGTGAACAGTCGATTAATAGCAGCGTAAAAAACTGCGCGTATTATATAAATTATATACATATATATATATATCGCGTCTATATAATTTTGTACATATTGTGTGGTATATAATTTCCGTATATATGTTGAGTATATATTGTGCTCGGTATAGAAAATTGCTAGATTTTCCAACATCTCTTGCAAAAATTAGCCGCGCCATTATCGGCGCACGATACGAAGCCTTGGCAAACAACATAATCGCCTTCAGCGAATTAGATATCTCGGATGATGTGTCGGAAATATGTTATTACATATAGACGCGCGGGCGATACTTGGGTCATAAAAGATGTATCGAGTTGAAATTTATCGGAATGCGAATGTGTGCGATATGCAATGCTATAATTTTCTAGATTTATAGAGCGACGAAAAAAAAACCATATATCGGGAAATTTATCGTATCTAATGTTTTTTCTTTAGATTACAAACTCAAATCCGGAATAACGTTAATCGACGAAGTTTGACTGACAGCTTTCGTTTGAATTTCGCACGATTTCACGACAGATCGGCTGCTTCGAGATTGAATTTCGATCGGCTCCCCGACCGAATCGCGCCACCTGATTTTGTCTTCGCGACTCGGCATTATCTTATCGGCTTCGCGCGGAAGGTATAATAAAAAAAAAAAAAGAAAAAAAAAAGGAGAGGTGTGAGTGTGGCCCTGGAGTTACGCAACGCCGGCAGACGGCAACACAATGAAGTCGAAGACGAGCGAGAGCCTCATAGCGAGTGAAAGCAAGGCGGGAGTCAAGAAAGATGGTGCCGGCGAGCACAAGCAAAAACAGTTGAAAAAAGGTAAGGACCGGACGTGAAACATGCCGCATGGAGACCGACAAATCGTTTCCTCGAAGCGGTCTTCTATTCTGCGGTTGCCGGCCGCAAACGAATGATCGTTTCGGTCCGCATTTGTCTGTAATTTATCGATAAAATAACGGAGAAATAAGTAACCGAGATTAAAAGACAATGGATTTTTGATGACAAAATTACCTGTCATTTGTTATAAAGTTTGAGACATTTCACGACGAAAAACGAGAATCAAAACAGCATTTTTCGACGGCTTTTTTTTTCAAAGAAGCTTCAAGTTTTCCCGCAATACCGTTATCTCTTTTATGATTGTCCTCCATTGGACGTGTTTTACATACGTCGCCGGCGATGAATATTGCAGATAAGAAAAATTTGCGAGTAAAATCGCACGTCGACGTCGAACACAAATCCACGCATTAAGTTACATCTCAACTGTTTTCATCGCTTGTGTTCACCGCAATTGAAATTCACCAGGAATATGAATCTCTAACGCATTACATTTGCTAAATAATTTATGCGAAGTAATCTATAAATATATTGTTTTCCTCGTTTTTTTTTTTCGATTCGTAAGCAAGAATCGGACAATCCCGCTACACGCGCTATCTGTATTTTATACCTCAAAGTAAAAAATCTGTCTTATTTAAAAAAAAATAAAATAAAATAAAATTTGTAATAACCGAATGTTAATTCGATTTTGACACGACACGCCGGTCATTTGCGTTTAAATTTAATTCGATTTAAAACCAAACGTAATTCAACATCGCGTGTAACGCGATTTGACACTTGAATAACGCAACGCGAAAGTCTTGCATAATTTTGCGATATTAAGGAAGACTGGATATTTGCATGTTACGATACTGCCTTGTGAGGATATGCGTCTGCGGCACGATTTTCATCGTTCGCGACGAATACGAGGAACGTGACGTGGCGCGCGCACGTCGAAGGCATTTTTTAAAACTTTCCTGATAAATAAACTCTCCGATGTGGAAACTGTCAATGGCATTTTAAACATTAGTTAAAATCTTTATAAATGTCTTTCGTCATTTATTTTTCACGGTTCTCGAACGTGCTTTTATTTGTTGCATCCATCGTTGTGTGATCTAATAAATTCTAATGTTTTTACAAAGCAATTACATATTTGAATTATATTCTATATTTTTATAAAAATGCGATGATGATGAAATATATCAGAAACACATGTGATAATTAATACTTATTTGTCAATGTGTTTATTATTTGTCAATATATTGCGAGATTTAAAAATCCAAACCGCTTTATCTGCAAAAAAACACTTGACGAGGTGCAATGTAACAAGCAAATAATAATAATTGTTGTAACTCGAGAAATATTTTTGTATCATGCAGTAATTATTGCAGTTTTGCTTCGATAACGTTGTCGGATGAAAGTCGTACACACACACATACACATAGTGAATGAAGTATTTTGTAATTCAATCACTCCCTCATTCATCGTGGGATAACTAATTGCCAGCTTGATGTGTTATTAAGTACCTGCCAGGCAATTTTCATACAATAAGCACGCGTCAAGATACACATATTTCTCGTTGCATCATGTGTAATCGGTTTCTATAAGATAACGCAACAGCACTTGTATGTCACGCACAGTTCCTTGAATTATCCTCTGATTTTAGCAACCGAAACATCTTCAAAATTGTTTTTTTTTTCTTTTTTTAATGTTCCATTATAACACTCGTGAAATAATTATTGCCGCGTTTCTGTAGGTGAGATGTATTATTAATTTGCTTCGTGAACATTTTACGGAAATATCATTAAGAAATCTGTTATCGCGCTATGATATAATAACTACGAAAACCGCAGCTATCGTGCATTTGTTTTTCCGTGCTTGATAATTTTAACGATGCACATTTTTATCAGCTTCTGTTGTTAAAAGAGCAAAAACAGGCACATACGTTAAATTAAAAAAAAAAAAAAAAAAAAAAAAAACATTATTTATGAGAGACTAACATGTAGAAATGTCCATTTGTAAATTAATCTCAATTCCAGATCGCTGTTTCATACATTACTTAAGTTTATATCAGTTTAATTGTTATCGCGAATGAGAAGTGCACAACATCGCAACGCTCTTTTATTAATTAAATCAGGTTTCGAGCACGGATGATAATCAAGTTAGCAATGTTCGCGAATAGTTTGTGTCCGATTATCAAACCGTGACATTCAGAAAGCATTTAGCACAGTGTTCTCTCGAGAAAGGCACATTTTTATTTAAGATTTATTTATTTTTTTTTTTTTTTTCAAAGATTTGTAACCGAGTAGAAAACAATTCGTGTGCGCAAAGCGTAGAAAAATGTTTTAAAAAATTTAATTTCAACAGAAGAAGATCGTTCACCCGGTAAAGCGCGAATAGTTTTGTTTATTAAAACGGCAAAACACAACGTAGCTCTGCAAATGTCACACGTCCGAGAATTATACACTACACACTTGTGCGAATTTCGGCGAAATTTAAGCGGATGACACACACACGTGCTGTTTCGCGATATCACGCTGCAAGAGCTTACGTTGCATTATCTTCGAGAGCTTATAGAGTTACATACATAGCTATTATAAGCACGAAGGAGGAAAGCAGAATTCAACTGTTCTTTCTCGCGTTCTTATCGCGATTAATATTTGCTCCGATGATGATGAGATAACGTTCTTAAAAACCGCTCGTTATAAGATCGAGCGAGATTCGAACGTACCGTTCTCGAATTTTTTTAACGTTTCTTTTATCGCTCGCTTTCACTTTGAGATATCTTTCTTTTCTTCCGCATGTTAACGTTTTTTGTTGTCGAAACAATTATTCTGAGAAAATTAAATTGCTTTCAAAACAACAAGTTCAACAGCGCGAGATGCAAAAGTGTCTCCTCCTTCGCGCGAGTTGTGTATAAGGAAATGCAATCGCTTTTGATGCGGGAAAAAGTAAGAGAGCGCGATTTAAGCGCGATTGGCGGACGATCGATTGCACGGTCGATTACTATTCGATTTTATGACCCGGGTTGCATCCGAGGAGAAAGAGAGATCGGGGCAATCCAGGGTCGCTTGCGTTTGACCCCACTTTGCGACATCCTATTTAGACCACTTATGAATCATATTAACATACCACGTACGTTGCACGACAGATATCTACATAGCGGCGACACTTATATGTGAGTGACAGGGTCTTGTTTCTTCGCAATTAATTTTGCATGGATTTTTTTAATTTTTTTTTTCAATGGAGACTATTAAAGTCGCGACTTATTTCCTATGATATTTCACGTAGCGCGAATAAAAAAAGTTTGTCTCGATTTATCTCAGGCTTTGCCTTATTGACAGCGCGTTTATGCGGTAAAAGAACAAACATTCCGCGCGCGCAATCTTGCGTGCGCATCTTATGGCAAATAATGCATCTATTATTCAGATTGCGTCGAACATTTTTCGCATAATTCCGCCTCGTTCTGCCTGAAACGTCGTTTTATCATTTCACACGATTGTCTCACGTCTGTTTTAATTGGATAACAAACGCCTCTTTTTGAAGCATTTAAATTCAAATTTTTCGCAGATAAAACTTTGATTTCCCGCTTAATTTATTTCCTGATGTTATAATCTGAAATTCTTGGCGATTGCGAGGGCAAATGTCATCGAAGGACTCGGCTTGACAATATGTCTTTATTGTTTTTTTTTTTTTTTGTTTCATATCACGTGACATCGACACGCTGTTATCGCGGCCGCAATGTGACGACCGTTCGACATCTCTCCGCGCTCGAATCACAAGAACAATAAATTTCGTTATCGCGGTTACGCCCGTTTCGTTTCGAACGGACTTATCGACCAGTGTATTTTCTGGCAACCGATTTTTCGCTCCGGTTGAAGCGTGCCGTAAATTAAGCGAGATGTGTGGTGACGCGCGCACAGACGACGAGAGGGTGTGTCACTTCACGGACGAGTGCCCTCGTTCGATTAAACACACATCTCTCTCTCTCTCTCTCTCTCACTTGCAATTTTACCTCGGACTCTTCCTGTCAACGAGGAAGAGAAAGCGTTCGAACATTGTTCTAAGCCGGAAGCGCTAAGTGTAATGCTCGAATAATGATCGTAAAATTAATTATATTCGCTTCCTTAATTTTCTATATCGTTTAAACATCTTTTTACATATCCGATAACGCGCGGTAGTTTTTTTGTTTTTTTTATGTGTTGCATTCTGTTATCGTTACATTTGACGTATCACTTTGTCTGTAATCACTCTGTCGGAAATTGTGAAATATAAAAAAAAAAAAAAAAGAAAAAGAGTCATGCGCGTCGGAGCAAGTTTTCAGCAACACATTTAGTTACCGCACGGACTAAAACCGCCTGATACAAAGCGGACGTATTTAAACTCGGTTCTGCCTACGTGCGGCAAGAATTTTCTTATACTTCGCGCGGCGCCACGTCGACTTTTTAACTCATGTGACGACCCAATGACGTCAAATGTATGAAAAGAGCTATGATGTCATTGCGTATTTTTAAAAGACGTGCGAAGTTTTGACCTTTACCTCCCGCTTTGAATTTTCAAGCGGGTTTTCTCTCTTTCTTACAACAACCGCTGCCGTTGCCTGCAAATATCAACGGCGCCCGATACATTTGCTTTTGTTTCACTGAAGTCACGTATGTATGTATGTATAGCATTCTCGGAATTCGTGCGGAGTTAAAAATTGTTTGCTTAAAAAACAAAAAAAAAACAAAGATTTACACAGGATGTTATGACTATATAACGCGTATAGTATTTTTAAAAATAATACTAAGATTTTTTCTTTGCTGTGTAAATTTTTTTTGGCAAAACTAACAAAAAAGTTCCTCAGAACTTTAAGAAGGCTACAAATTTTCTTCTTATTTTTATTTAATCTGCAAATGAGACCTTTACAGATTTATTTTTATCTAAAAAAGTGTGTTATAATATTTGATAATTATAAATTATACGTGTTTATACTGTGTGTAAACACGTAGAAAAAATATTGGCTAAAAAATACTTGAAGAAACTTTCATTGATGATTCTTTGACTTTTGACTTTCTCCGCTAAACCAAAAATATCCGTCGATCTGGTAACAGACAAAACCACCGCAAGCTTTACAAATTAGCATTTGAGAGAGATTCGCAATCGGATAATTAATGCGTTGCCGAGCGCTTCGTGTATTTACATAACAAAAAAGTTCCGTTTTGCATCAACGGGATTAAATCGCAGCTCTCTTCTTATGAATCTTTCATGTTGCATTTTTTTTTCTTTTTTTTTTTGTCACGCACTATCGTTACCTCAGAACAAGCGTGAAACAACAGCTGGACTGCTCTCCGGGTCTTGCAACTCGCGCGCAAAACGGAGGGAGATTATTAGTTCTGGCTCTCTTAAAAATATTGACCGAGCTAGGAAACAACACCCCCTTTGGCATTTTCATGCGATCATCTGGCCGCGCGCGCGTAACGGTAACAGACACATACGTGTAATTTATCGCGGACTGCGTTTCAAAACAGCCGATAACTCAACAAAGGCGCCACATTCATTGCGCCTTCTCGCAGAGAGAAAACGCAATGAGTGTTGAGTCATCGATCTGAATGAGCGAGCAGGGACACTTTTTTTTTTTTTTTTTTAGTTAGCGCCAGACTGCGCACAGTTTGCGCGTTGCTATAAACTTTCAACGAACTCCTCCACCGCTTCCTACGCAAATTATCTGCTCATCGAGATCCCACATGTTTTTCCCACTTACATAATTGCTTTATTCAATTACCGTGACGTGAAAAACGTTTTCAACGTGGTTCGATCAGACAGAAGGTGACAGAAATATTTCGTTTCCGAACGTGACGACACGACTTGCACGTATGAAGAGAAATAGACGTTTAAACATTTCGCTTATATGATGACGTGAAATGAAGCAACTTGGATTGCTATTGGATTAGAGATGGGTTTTTCTTTTTTTTTTTATTCATAACGCAGCGTCAATAAATTGAATAATGTAATGATGATGTAATTGAAGAACGACGTTCAAAATACAGATCGAATCGCGAAGCGTACCTGGCTGATACAATCCCGTCCCAAACTGGAGTGCTAATGAATAATGCATTAACATTGCCCGCGCAATACACGCGCATTTATACTCGTGTCAAAACACATTGTGCTCGTGTTTTGAGAGCCGGCGATGTTTAATCGATGTCGCGGCGTAGTAATTTTTAATTCGCGACACGTACGCGTTACATACGTATCGAATATATCGTTTATCGCGAACGTAATCCGGGCAGCGAGACAAATAGAGACGAATAGGCGTTAAAGTAACCTTAGTTCGTTTATTGTAAAAAAAAAAAAAAAACGATGAGAAGAGCCTTTCAATGTATCTGACAAAGGTGTGAAAAGAATATGATAAAATGCGTGCTCACATGTTTATCTTTTTTTTAGACAAATATCAGGAGGATTTTTTATTTTTAATTACGCGTAAAGAGTTGAAGCTGGTTTTGATTACGAATTTATTTAAAATCCAAAAAATATCTAAATATATTTACACAAGAATCGATAACGCGTGATTACTTTGTAAGCAATTTCGACGGAAGACGCTGCTAAGTAAACGCGAGATTTGTGATTTCCTGAAGACACGAACATTGTAACGGGGGTCTCTTTTAATCTGAGACGACAGGTGCATTATGTAACGTAAATACGTGTTATAAGTTGTGCGCGCGCTTCGACGCGAACATCGATGCCCACGAGAAAGGCGCCGCAACGAGCAAGTGGAAGATGCGAAGATTGCTATTGTTGCGTAAACGCACTCGAATGACCAGCGCGAACCGAGCGAGCAGGTGACGTGACTCATCCGAGATATATCTTTTCTCTTCTATTCTTAGAGTTCTCTTTACACGTTTGCAGAGAGAAAGAGATTTAACTGTAGTGCGCTTGCTTTTAACTTTCTTCTTAGGAAATGGCATTTGCAATTCGGTTTCTAAAAAAAAAACAAAACGCACGAGAGAATTATAAGGAAATCAAGACAAAATTACATAATCCACCGATTTATTTTGTTTCATCGGAATGACGGAACGAAAATCGTTTGAATTGATCGTTTCTTATTTAATGAGAAAATTTTGTTTTTTTTTTTTTATTTCAGGTAAAACGTTTTGCCAATCCTGTAAGAAGAAGTGCAGCGGAGAGGTGCTGCGTGTGCAGGATAAATACTTTCACATAGGATGCTTCAAGTGCGCTCAGTGCAACACTAGTTTGGCACAAGGTGGCTTTTTTGCACGCGAGGGATCTTATTACTGTACCAAGGTAAAGTCTATACGCTTTTTTTTTTTTTTTTGTATGTGTGTGTGAAAGTAGTTCATTTTCAATATGTAACTGTGTGGATAGAGAATATTTATATATGTGTGAGAAAGATTTATAATTTATTGATCACTTTGCGCAGGATTATCGGGAACGATGGGGTACACGATGTGCCGGTTGCGGGGAATACGTGGAGGGCGATGTAGTGACAGCCGGCGAGAAGCACGCGTTTCATCCAAATTGTTTCCATTGCCAAAGATGCCGGAAACCGTTACTGGGACAAGGAACGAAAGTCTCTCTCGTTCAAGGTAATGGAAACAATTCTTTTGACTCGTCATAACGGTTTATATTCGACGTGCAAACGACGGACATTCGGTAAAATTTGTTATCGAGCGCGCTTACCTTCTCTCGTTGCCGTGGAAAATTCAGTTTAATTGATGGTTTCCATCAATTGGTGATAATGACGACGTACTGAGATTGCGTATTAACGGTTTCGTGCACGTTACTTTGGTGCAGCTTTCACAATTAGCGTGGCAGTCGACCTGTTAGAGGCAAATTGCCACTTAGGCATATCGTTACTCCACCGTTACAAGGCCGTTGGTTGTACTACGTACGTCCTTGTAACGATTACGCAGTCAAAAGTAAAAATCTCTCTGGTGCGTCACTTTATCGCACACTACCACCAACGTATAGCTTGACGTGTTTTTTTCGAAGAATTGAGAATTCCATTAGATAAGTTACAGGATAACTTCTGGCTTTAACGTTTTGTAGTTTTTGTGGTTTAGTCGTTTTGTATCTGTAAGAAAAAAAGAGTCAAAATAAGTATATCTTAATTAAGTCAATCGCATAAAGTAACAATTTGTTATTTTATGTAAGAAAAAAAAAATTGATTTACGATATATAGAAATTGTGTTAAACGCTATATAATTTCTCAGAGTTTCTTCAATTGAAAGAGTTACAGTGATAAACGAAATTGAATGATCCAATGTGTTTCAAGAAGACAATTGGCGGACAGTGCGAAGGTTAATGATGACGCCTCGAGGTCCGCTAGCCGGATCTCATTAATCTCCACTAACTTGTGCATTGTTCGTAGGTCAGGCGTTGTGTCATCGATGTGTTGGCATCCCAATTCGTGAGGCCTCCACGCCGGTTGGTAATAGCGCCGGTACCAAAGGTGACGGACACACCGATTCTGGTGCCTGCGCCGGTTGTGGAAACCAATTGAGAGAAGGTCAGGCATTGGTCGCGCTCGATCGTCAATGGCACGTCTGGTGCTTCAAGTGTCACAGCTGCGACACTGTGCTCCATGGCGAATACATGGGAAAGTGAGTGACTCAAATTCAACAATTCATTCAATTTGTATCTTTCTTGTATAATGATTTTAATCAAATTCTTTCTTTGACAGAGACGGCGTGCCTTACTGCGAAAAAGATTATCAGAAGCAGTTTGGAGTTAAGTGCGCCTACTGTAATCGCTATATCAGCGGCAAGGTTTTGCAGGCTGGCGACAATCACCATTTCCATCCGACTTGTGCACGTTGCACGAAATGCGGCGACCCGTTCGGCGACGGCGAGGAAATGTACCTGCAAGGTGCCGCCATATGGCATCCACGCTGCGGTCCAGGACCCACCGGACCGAACGGCATCGTGAATGGACACGCAGAGGCGCATACGCCGCAGCATCGGGAATCGGAGCGGATTTCCAGCAGCGCTTCAGAGATGCAGGTAAGTCTATTTACGTACGTTGCGCAATCGATGATTTGCCGTTGTTAAGCATTTTTTATTCTGTGTACATCCGTGTATTATAAGGCTGTTATAAACAAAGGCTTGTTTATCTTGTTTTTCTTAATCTAAGATCTATACGGGAATTGATCAAATAATTGTGGCATTTTAATACACATTTTATCTATATATTCTGGTCTGATTTATAATGTTTTTTTTTTTTTGTTTAATTAATATTTGTGTAAAAAGATTGCGTTCTGTTTTATTTTATACCTGTACGTCGCTTTATAGCTTGTTAAAATTGTTGTAAACAACATTTGCATTCTACACAATGTGGTTTTGACAATTATTATGGTGTGTTTATGTAAAATATTATATAATATTAATATAATATTAATTGTCAAAATCACAATTGGTCGAAATTATATGACGAAACCACAAGCTCTCGGTTTTGTAAACTAACTTTTGCAAATATATAGATGCTGATTGAAAAAAGAAATAGTTCAGTAATAATATTAAGCAACGATATAATGAGTTCTTTAGTTATGCTCGGTAATTTAAATACGTTTATATATACATATCGAAGCGCTTGCGTATTTCAAGCGGTGAATAAAAATAACGTTGTTTATTCCCGAGTGTTTTAAAATAATACATCGTATATCTAAGTTTGACTTCTTTTTTTCTCGATATAAAGTTTTGAACTCTCCAATAGAGAGTTTCAACTACAACTATATTATTTATTTAGCATTCAACTTTTGTGTGAATGAAAACCGATTGCTTCATTGTAAAAACTTGTATATCACAAATTTTTTAAACAGGTCCTTAAAAAATCAAGAATATAACGTACGATTCAATGTAATTATTGTTAATATTTTATACTTACGCAATAGTTAGTTCTTATATACGCTCGATAGTTTTTCAGTCTACATTTGATATACGATAGAAAGAAGATTAAAAAAAAAATGCATGTTGCTGTTCATATTAGCATTCGCATTATTCGATTAGTTGCATTACAATAGTTGTGTTTGTCTCTGCATAATTGAATTTACGAATTAGAATTATGAAAAAGGCAAAGTGTTTCATGACACACACACACACACAATTGAGAGATCTTTATAGAATTAATCTAACAAAAAGAAAAAACAGGTTGATACGTTGGAACATTTATAGTGTTTCTTGCAAAACGTCACAAAAAAACACTTTGCTATATATTTAACATATATATTTGTATGTAATGATTAACATTGGACTTCTCTTCCCTCTGTATAGTAACGATATAGAAACAGGTCACAACATTTTTGATCTAAAAAAATATTCAGTATCTTACCGGCTTTGTGTATAGCTTTGACATTTATGCCTCAAAGAGATCGGCTCGCCGTTTAATTAATCCTCTTTACGCACGCCTCAACCGATTAGAGAAACAAACGAAACGAGATTTATTATCGTTATTTTTTGATTTTTAAGTTTTTTATTTTATCAGCTTTTCTTAATCATTGTTTACTTTTTTCGCACGGTCATTGTGTATAGTTTTCATTGCGGTCACGCACGCCAAGCCTGAACGGATCGCTGTGCAGCCCTTACAACAGCCTCAGTCGCAAGGTATGCCATGTGTCACTTAGCACAGCACTCTCGACAAGTATTTCTGGTATCACTTCTCGCGTTACCTCTTAGCAACGCGTGCTTTCGCTCTGTCGGATATTTGCGGTCCGATTTCAGCTCCATCGATCTGTCGAATGGAAGAGAACATTGCACATAAAATAATCGAAACATTTTGCTTAAGATTTTATTAACTAATTGATATAAAATAAAATTTGCTTCATATAGAATTGAATTGCGCGCGCCAATAGGTTTCACTTAATTAAAACTTGTCTGTTTTTTTGTTAAGTTATATATTGTATAAGGAGAAAGTCAGTGTATTATATTTTTAAACTTTGATAATAATTAAATAGATAAAACGTAGTTGTGTAAAGTTCGATGCGTTTATTGACAGAGTGTTACTCGCTTTGCTCGTTCTGTTTCTTCTGTACAGGATGCGCCAAATATCCAAATAAACTCCGATACACTCGATTATTTTAAAAGAAACGCATAAAATGCGAAATGTAATATTTTGTGTTTCATCTGGTAGATATTCCACGCATCTTGTACAAGTGCTACTTCTCAGATACGTAAAAAAAAAAAAGACGAGTTTTTTATATTACGTTCGTGATAAAATACATTGATTGCCTCAGTATTATACCGCACGAACTGGAAGTCCGGGCCTGATCCTGAGAGATTATGGACGACCCGCGGAAGATGTGTCTAGGATTTACACTTATTCATACTTGACTGAAACGCCCACTCAAGGATATCTAAGACGTCCAATTCAGCCGTACGATAAACCCCCAACTAGCCCGCATTTTCATAGACCTAGCTGTAAGTTTTTTCTATGTGAAAAAAAAATAAATTTTGTTAGAATTCTGAAACTATACACACATAGTGTGTGTATAGTTTCAGTGTAAATTTGGTAGTAATTTCTTGCATCTCTCTTTTTTTTTAATTTATTATTAATTTGTCTATGTATTCTCTCTAGGATTAATTTGAGTTTGCGTGAGAACATTAATTAATCTGTTCGTGTAGCATCTCGTTCGATAAGAAGCAGCGGCGGGCGTAGCAGCAGATCGGGAATGCGAGCCTTAGTCGACGCCCTGAGCGACACCCGACCGAAATCGCCGGCAAGCCAGGTGGACAATGACGAACCGATAGAATTAGCGCATTATCCGGACGCTATGAAGCCACCACCGGGAGCACAACCGCCAATCGAGAGAGACGATTTTCCTGCTCCGCCGTATCCTTACACTGATCCTGAAAGACGTAGACGATGGTCCGACACTTATAAGGTATTATCTTATTATACTCTCAAAAATTTTTTATAATTGAACTTTTAACGATGTGAATAATAAATGTTTATTACTGTTCTACGTTGTCTAATTTCTAATTCAGGGAGTACCTGCATCTGACGATGAGGATGAAGTGGACAACAAAACATACATCAAGGAGGCGGAGCAAAAACTAAAAAAAGAGCAAGATGAACTGAGCAAGATCGACACGGGAATAGCCAAAGTATTCCTGCAAGATCGCGAAAAAGATCGGGAAAATTTGAGACATAGAGCTGCGAACGTTGATCCTCGGAATGCTTCGAGGACACCGTCCGCGGCGAGGGAACCTACGTATCGATTGCGTTACGAGAGTCCTGTCGGTGCATGTAAGTTTAAAAACGAGAAGAACATTCGTTTCTAATTACGTTAAGTGCCAAATTAAAAGCCAAATTTTTCTGCGCAGCGCCTTCGCGAAATATTGATCATGCACGGCCTTGGGAGGACGACGACGGCTTTAGCTACAGATCCAGCGGGCCTAGCTACAACGGTGAGTTTCCGTCCGCCACGGGCAATGCCTACTTTTCTCATTAACATTAGTAACGATCATCTCATACATGTCCACACGTTCGCACATGACACTAACATATCACTCTACCGTTTGAAGTAACATCAATTAGAGAAACACTGTGAGTCTCGATAGAGAGCGGGATTTCCCAGGGCGGGAGGTCGTAAATGGTTCCATTAAAAAAAAAAAAAAAAAAAAAAAAAACTTGCTCGCTTCTTGGAGCACGACGAATGAATCGGCGAATGAAAACCTGTGATGTGACACGGGAGGGTTTTACTCTAATTAAAAAAAAAACTAACGATGTGGTAACAGTACGTAACTCACGAGAGCAGGACTTTGTTTTAAGTGGCATATAGAATCTAATAACCGTACATTGGACGCCCGATATAATATAACAGGTGATGTATTGTGCCTATTGCATGTGGTTGTTCCTTTACCTCGATGTGCTTGCCTCTTTATTGTTTTCGTTCGTCGAGTTGCGGACAGCGAATCAACCTCAAATACCGATAACTTAACGAACAGTCACAAAACCGTCATTGCGATATTTTGCCCTGGAAATCGTTTTTTTCCGAGGTAATTGATCTCCTATATTTTGCATGGCACTTGGGACCACGAAGTTTATCGTATACACGAACACAGTTACCTCAACGCACATCACTGTCATTTCTCTCTCAGCACAAATTTTTAAAATCTTACATTTCTACAATCTACATTTCTAAACCGATTGAGAAATTTATTACGTTGATTGAACTACTTATTTTTATTATTATTATTATTATTATTATTATATCTTGCAGTATGTTTTTGTAAGAAAACAAAATTTTTATAATTTTAAACTTGTTTGGTTTTGAAAAATAGATAAAAATTACTAATTGATTAATAATTTCACCAATTTGTTTGCTGAAAACAGTTCACAAAATCTTACAATGTTGGAAGATAATTCGGCACTACGATCATTTTGTTTCACTGCCATTCTGCAGCATGATTATTTTTTTTCTGCATTGCACAATTTTGCTTTTTGACAGATACATAGAATTTTGCTTCAATTTATCTTCCAATGTTGGATTATCGGTTAATTCTAGAATGCTAATATCAAATAGTAATCTCAAAGATTAATAAATAAATAAATAAATAAATAAGTCAAAAGAACTCTCACGTGCGGATACTGCCGTTTGTATCATCATTAGCATTCTAGGCTTGACGGAATACGGCAACCTAAAGTCACAAAAAAAAAACAAAACGCTATTACTCGTCGTCTACTATCATGGTGTCTCTATTTGTGTTTTTGTGTTTGTGTTGTGTTTGCGTGGGCGGCAGTTGGGAGGTCATCGGCGCGCTCCCCGGCTCCCAGAAACTATCCACCCCTTGGTACTCAGCGCGCCTTCACTCTTCCAAACGCCAGTAGGCACTATCACTCGGTGAGTCCGAAAACTTTCCAATTTGCCCGCCGTTGGTCCCAAGTCAAATCGACTTTACTTTGGAATTACGTAGCAAATGTTGCGACTTATCGATCTACAAGTTTGTCCGGATGTTTTATCACGTTAGAAAGTTTTTTTTATTTTTGTAACAACATTGGATCATTATTTTGTAGAAGACTACGAAAAATTGTGCACGTGTAAAATAGGCATGTAAAGTATATATTTGTTTTTTTTTTATGAAAACCTGATTTATGTTCAAATACGTCCTGTTATAAGTATTACATTAAAAAATATATGTAATAAATATGTTTTACACATTAATATGTAAATTAAAGTTACATTCAGTATTTTTGTTTTTTGTTTCTACAGTTTCAGTAAAAAAAAAAAAAAAATGAATTTTGTGACTTGTCATCACGGCGGGCATGCTTACAAAAAGTCTATTGAATTTACACACAGGTGCTGGCTTCTTACGTATCTTTTTTTTTTTTTTTTCTTAGTCGCGAGTTCCCTCGTACACTTTGTTTTGCGAAAGTCAATGCTTTATTATGCACTTAAAATTGTATCGGGTATCTTTAAAATGCCGTTTGCCGATGGGGGTGCGATGATATATTTAAGGTGACTACGATGATGAGAAATAATATAAATTCCCTTTGTTAAACGCGATAAAAAAAATTCAAAAAAAAAAGGGTTACAATTTATTCTATTATTACTAATATTGCATGAAATATCGTGTAATTAGAAAATTTATATTAAAAATTATATTAAAAACCATGAAAAGTTTAGTAATCTATAGAATTCGCATGTGTGTATCAAGAAATATTGTTTCTTTTTATTTATTTTTATTTTTTATTTTATTTCGATTCGAATTCGTAGAGATGACAAACATTGTGAAATTGAAAGCACCAAATGTATCATTATTTGGGGCGCAAAGATTAGGTAGAGGGAAATCCTTTGACAAACAACAATTAGATCTTGATATACAAAACGGAACGAAACATGGCTCATGGAAGTAGGATTTAAAAAAACATTAATAAACCCAGTACGAGAATCTGGCAAAGCGAACGTTGGGCATTCGTATGGGATTGAACGGATCGAAAAAATTCAGCACTGAAACTAATCAGTAATATATCTCGATTGACTGATTTGCAAACCAGTTGTGAGCTCCCTTCGGCACATCCCAAAGCCGGGGTACGGTCTGGCACCGCGAAGTCACACCTTCTCCTCGACCGGCGGTTCCGTGTCTGCTCTCCCCGTAAGTCTCGCACCGCAAGTCATAATCGACGATGCGACGTATGTGCACCGCGCTGAGATAGTGCATTTATTATACATACGTTCATAAAGAAAGAGAAAGAGAGAGAAAAAAAGATATAGAGACTGATCCGCGCGACAGAGCCGAGCGCATCACGTATTTCTAAGATAACGCTTTTCTGTCGTCTAGGGCGATTATTCGTTCAGCGGGATGGGCGACAAGACGCACAGCACTGATTTCTCGTCTGGCAAATCGGACAGTGAGTAAAACGAGAGGGATTTAATCGAAACCAATTTCTTTACAGCATACGCGGATCTCTCATTTCGCTCAGTGTGTTCAAAGCTTTTCAAGAATCTGACGCGCTCGCGAATTTGACAGATGCGATAATTATGCAGATGCGACGCTTGCGGGGTCTTATCATGGCTACTTTGTTTAACGTACGTTAATTACGCTGATCTAACAAGAGAAGATATTTTAGAATGGCTCGCGAAGTAAGACATAATTGCGGTCTCGCTTTGAAAACGATTTTTTTGTTAATGAAAACATTTTTCTCTTTCAAACGCTAATGTTCTAATATGCAATCAAACGTGCTTACAATTAACTAAACCTTAGAATGGCAAGAGAGACTCACGTCATTAGTTACTTTAAGAAGCGTAATTGATTTAATATCAAGATTATCGCGTACTGGTTCGTAATAGAACTGTTGGCAGAATTTGCGAGCGCGTTGTCGTTGATTTTTCTTTTTCACACATCACTTGATTTCGCCTTGTTTACTGCATGCTCTTCGACTAACATATATTTCTGCGAGCCACATCGTATTGTGTCACTGTGACATCATTTATGCGACTTTATTTTACGTTAAAGATCTGTGACATCTGTTTGATTATTAATCACGAGCAGTTTTTTTGTGCCTTAATTTTTCTCTTCTTCTAATGCGATTTTTAACAAATAACTAAACTGTGCTAAATTTATGAAATTACAGCAGGATAAATTTATATTTGATCTAGAAGATACAATTATAATTAAATACATTAAATACAAGTGCCGTTACTTTATATTATTATATTTTGAATTTTTCTTTTTTGAGATGTAAAAATAAAATCTTTCTCTATATACAATACATTATATTCTCCCTTCCATATATATTATTACAGAAAGATTTTATTTTTAACAATTTTAATTTCAAACAACTTCTTTTAGAAGTATAAAAAATTTCGTTACCATTGAATTAGTATAAAACAATTATGTTCCCCGCATTAATCTCGCCTGTTTTTTTTTTTTTTATAATTTAATAAAAAGTTTTTGTATATTTTCCTTTCATACAAATAATACACACAGGCAGGATGAATAAGAGAGGGGAACATTATTGACAAAAGACAAGATTTAACAATAGCAAATGGTTTGTGCAACATGGTTTGATATGGTTTTTCTTTCACATTTTCCCCAATTTTAGTATCAACAGGCAGCATCACGGATGTGGATCGGCGGGCATTGGTATGTACCACAGCCCCATACTACTCCCGGCGAATTAGCATGGTTTGTAGTTTGTTCTTGCATCAGTATGAGACAACAGAACTCCGTTTATCAGAACATAATTTATCTGCGACACATGTGATAATACACGTCTATGAGAACACGTTCTTTTTTTTTTTTCTTTTTTTTCACATCTTTTAATTCTTTGTTGTTAGACAAGTTCTGCGATATAAGAGAGGTCAGTACGTAAATCCGTTTGAAAAGTAAGTAATTTGTATCTGCACTTCGGAAAGATTTTTTGCTACCTAACACGCACAATCGTCCTAATATTTTATTCTAATAAACGGAGTTTATGCAAATGTTTTATTTAATATTCTAAGCACGTTTCTATAATTACAGATGTGATGCATTAAGTGCACACATTCATCTAGAGAAACGAGACGATACGATTCGTATGTTTGATTTTATGACGTGAAATATTATACTATATGCATATTACTGATACACATATGTACGATTTTATATATGATTTGCTATTTTTGTTCATATTGTAATGTAAAATACTGTACATACATATAAATGCTATATTATATGAGTATGCATGCATGCTGTATATTTTGCTACGTTATTAAGTCTTGCATTTTTTTTACCATTTATATTTTATTCTCGTTAGTTTGCTCGAAAACTTAGCTTCTTCATTTTTAATTTAATTAAGTCATTTAATTTATCTCGAATAATATTATTTTATACACGATTCACTCTCTATTTGGCTTTGTCGGTCGCATAAAAAAGTTTATCTTTCTTTTCTTATATTTTTAATATTTAACATGTGATTTATTTTGAATCCAAAAAAGTTTTGAAAAACGACAATAATATCGGAGAAGTCTTTCAAATTTGAACAATCACGTTGGTAACGTTGAAAAGAATTTTGCAAAAATTGCATGTGAACTAAAATATTCTCTTAAAGAGGTGACAAATCATCAATGAAAGTTGATTATTTATTTGTTTTTTTAATGAAGTATTCAATGTGTTGTATATTTACATATTGTCAATAATATTTATTTCGATTACATTCACGTCTTAAGTGCATCTGTTTTGTTTGAAAAATACTTTTTACAAAAACTTAGTTTTTTTGTTCAAAAAAGATCAAATGATTGCATGTGGGAATATAATGTCACTTTTTGAAATTATTCAAAACGAGCGCTAATGTATTAAAGAATTAGATACACTTATCTACACACAGGCAATCTGTTGAGCCATATAAATCATTCGCTCATCCAAGTAAAAAAAAATATATATAATTTTATTAATATCATTACGTATTATAGATTAAGAGTATCGAACATTGTAATCACGTGAATATTTTGTAAGTGTGAAAAAATACATTGGTCACGCGCAGTGCAACTTCAACAAGTGTTTCTTGCGTTGTCTTAAATTTTTTCTTTAAGATTATTTCTATCAGTGAGATTTTAATTTTGCGTACTCGTGCTTTAGAATGATGGTGGGATCCTTCCATCATCCACCACGTATACAGGTGGCCTAGGTTCGGTTGTTGGGAGCCACGGGGGTCATCATGTAAGAAGATCGTTGCCGGACATGGGACCAACCGAACCGCCCAAGCTTTACCCCTATCACTTACTTGTTATCACCAACTATAGACTGCCAGCTGATGTGGACCGTTGCAATCTTGAGGTGAGTGTTGGTTCTATGTGATTACGGAACATTGTTCAAATTTACTTGTTAAATAACGAAGTATCTCTTATCTTTTGTTTATTTAATTAAAACTGAGGTCGCTACATAATAGATAAATTACAGAAGATAATTTTAAGACAAACTATAGAAATAATTTTTTGCATATTTTTCTCTCTTTCTATTTTTTAGCGACACCTCTCCGATGCGGAATTCGAAGCTGTTCTTCAATGCAGTCGCGCGGAATTCTACAGACTGCCACAGTGGCGCCGTAACGATCTTAAAAGACGTGCCCGGCTGTTTTAACTTATACAACACATTTTTTATTACTTCTTATATATCTGCATTGTGTCACGATTGTGTTACTGTGGTACAGACTGTACATTCCTACTGCGTGGGTAGTATAATATCGCGGAGAAAAAAATGTGTTCGACAACCACCGCGAGCGGGGGCCGGTCTGGTAGCCGACGTTTACGCTCGCAGAATTAGAAAGTTTTTCTAAGCGGGATTACAGAAACATACACACAGATATGCATGCATACAAATGACAAGAAGCACTGCCACTTGTCGTCAATTTTTTTCTCGCAGCAACGGATTCACGGGCAGCTTTATCTATGACCCGATCTGTTTTTTTTTTTTTTTTTTTTTTTTTTTTAAGCCACGTAGTTGTTCTCTCGAATCTTCGAGAAGTTTACTATTCGGAGTTCCGACGTGACATAGTTTTGTTTAACATACGTTGATGAGCAATGACCGTTGATATTAACGTATAGAGAAAATAATCAAATAGAAAGAAGAGAGGTGAGGTTACGATTAGAACTCTTAAAATGCAATTCGCTACTGTAAATAAGAGGTTTATCGACAGGTCGAAAAGCAAACGCGAAAGAAATCAGTTAGGATGTTTCAAAGTACATAATCCGCGTATTTGCTAAATCGCATATTAACCTTGCGAATGATTACCCTTGCGGGTAATTGCGAGGTAATTGCGCTATTATGTAATACCTATCATTAATTATTAATTTTTAACTACTGTATTCTTATAATATTATTACAATACTATATATTAATATTATTATTATTATTATATTTTACTATGTGCAACATGAAGAGTTAAAAGAAAACAAGTAGGTGAGCCCAGCTTGCTGAACGGTGCGAGTATATATTAATTAATTGGATGCGTATGATTTATCACGTTTTAACTTTGTGGCGAACATTTTTAAATCTCGTAAATTAGCTTCGTGCGATGCCTGTAATGCAATTATCTGCGTCACGAGAGAGGATATCAATTTATCTTGATTCTTTTTTAATTATTATTTGGCACATTTAACTAAAGAAAAAAAAACAAAACGCTCTGCGGTGCGGATTGCGATAGACTACTTCTACGATTGTACTCGATCACTCTACATTAGAGTATACGTGAGAAAATCCAGGACCAAATTTATAGTCGTGGTGGATCCGGAAAATCGAACCATTGCGGGGCTTTGTTACTAACACGGGGAGTGTGTACATAGTTTTTATTTTATACTTTATTATCAAATAATTGCAATTTATATCGCATTTGATTTTAGTGGGAAAAAAATTTGTATTTTATCGATCGATCTGTGTATCTGTCTGAAGTGGTATAACACGTGATTTGTTTTTCTTTTTTTTTCTTTTAAAACAAAAAAAAACTTCCTTGTGATAAAAACGTCAAAAGATATTCAAGAGAATATGAAGTATATATTTTAAATTCCATCTTTATCACGTGTATATTTTAAGTAGAATTTTTATAAACTATTTTAATGCATTGTCATTATATCTCGAACTCGTTAATATATCTCATCCCAAGCAAAAGAGAGTTGTTTTATACTGTTTTCCAAATAAAACAAAAAAAAAACAATCCACAATAATTTTTAGCAATCAAACAATCAAAGTGTTTTTTAACGTCGTAGATGCGACAGCGATATCATCCCCCACCCAGTAAATTAGGTCCTGCACAGAATTTAAAAAAGTTTCAAAGTAATATATCGAGCAAGCTGAATTATATATACCGGGACGTATTTACGCGTTCATTGAATAGAGCTGAATTCTAGGCAAATAAAAATCGAACTTTCATATATAGGTGAAAAAAAAAAAAGCACACAACATACACACACATACACGTTGTATCGAAGTTCCGATTGTTACGCTGACCCATGTGCGACTCGTCATAAATGTGTTTATTGCGTGTTTTAAACGCGCATGCGTACGAGAGGACAAAGACACTTCGTTCGAACCGAGTGTCTTTTATCTTATTCGCTGAATGCTGTACTACGCATACAATTTTTTTTTTTTTTTTTTTATCAGGTTTCATTGCGTTTTACTCTATTACACACTTCTCTCCCTTACCTTACGTCATGTGCCTACAAGCGATCGTCGTGGAACGATATCACGCCAGAAAATCGTTAATCCTACACACGCTGTGCATTTGTGTAACACTTTTAACAATTCCTATCGACCCGATCGGGCTCGCAAAAGACGTCCAAAATGTTTTTGAGGACAATTTTTGCTAAATCGTTTCTGATCAATTTTCTGGACATCTTTTCTAGAAGCGCCGTTTGGGTCACGACTTCGTCACGAAGACGACGTGCTCCATGATCGTCAGCGTGCAAGTAAAAACTATTCTTCGTTATCGCGATATTTAAACCAGTTGTGATATCTGCTTTTTTTCTTTCTTTTTCTTACGAAAAAAAAAAAATCAACTAACTTTTATAGCGTAATTTTGTGTTGTTTTGTCTTCGTATCGTAATCTACAAACGATCATCGCGTTGAATTCTTATTGACTTTGTATGCGTCCGATATTCTTTGATCATGGTGCAACGTTTATTGTTCCCACTGTGCAATGCGAACCAATGTACGTTTCTGTTGTATAGAGCACATTGCTTCCGCTAGTCCCTACAGTTAAATAAATGCAGACATACAAAAAAAAAACGTTAACTAAACCGTCTCTTCGTTGCGGTTGCTGTTTCGTCAATCATTTACCAGCAAGTATCCTGTAAAACCCTACAGTATCTTCTTTAGTTTCTTTCGCAAAGACATATCGAGGAAGACAAAATTTGTTCAGCGGAGGTACATTAGCTGCATTGTTAGTAGACTTGAAAGCAAACTTTTTGTATTTTAACTCGCTGCATCCTGCTGTGAAAAAAAAAAAATCCTCTATGTGTTAAATTACGTGCGCGAATAAACGCGTGATATATAAGTTTGATATTAAATTTGTTTTACTTTCGCGCGTAGAATCACGAACCCTTCTAGCGTGTTGGAGAGCGATTCGTATTGATCTGACACCAATTCCGCTCTCTCACCTGCGCCTAACAAAACCGGCGTGGTTTGAACGTGACCGCCGACAATGGATCTCGGATTACTCGTTTTTCCCACTACGTCCACGCTTTGTCCCACTCTTACCGACACTGGCAAGTTCTGCAAAAGAACACTCGCTAATTAACGATATAATTTATGTTTTAAACATCAATTTGATTAATTTTATACGCGAGTACGTTTGTGTACTTTAAGATTTTTGTCCACAGTAACTAGCCATCTCGGCTCCATCGCGATCGCCAAGCAATACATTAAATAATGAGATTGCGATAGTATAAGATTTTTGCAATCTAGACACGCGACGAGAACGACCATCAGGCCAGCCAAGGCGGTATAGTCCAAGACCTTCGCATATTTCAACGGCGACAAAGACATAGTGCCCTGAAAAAAATGTGTACAATAGGAATTACAACCAAATGTAAATGAAAGTAATTTGTGTGTTTAATTGTCTGTTACTTTAATCATTTATTTATATTTCTATCTATCAAAAAAAAAAAAAGTTTCTTTTCGAACGTAGAGATCTTTTTTACCTTGCCCATGTGCACCAAACCCTGGGAAATGCGCACGAGAAACAAATGAGACGGATTTTTCGCGTAATAAGCCGCCAATTGTCTCAGCATCGTCGCCAGTCGTGCGTTGTTGGTGCCAGCTCCTACGAGACCGAGAGCGAAAATCGCATTGAGAGCGACATCGGCGTCGTGGTCGTGACTGTACTTGTTCAACACGTCCACGACCGTTGGGTCAGCGTTTGATAAAGAAGACAAAGCCAGCGCGAGAGGCATAGAACGTCGCGCCGGAGTTGGACCATATCTTCCGACCTACGTCCGACATACAAGCGCACACGAGAATGTTCCCATAATAAATATCAATTACAGTCAACTGCATCTTAAGTAATTCTCTCTTTATCTTTATCTAGAGTAGTCTTTATATGCTTGTAAAAGGAAGCAACCAGTGTCCATTATGAATGAACTCTCGGATATTAATCTTTATCAAATTGAATTGGATGGATTTAGCTACTTCTTTATCTCCCCTGTGTTTCTAAATGTCACCGCAAACGCGCGCTCTATAAATATTCATCAAAAAATTCAGGGAATATTTCCCAGAGAGAATTGATGTTCTATTCACCTGACCAAAGATCCTCGAGTTTTCTTTCCCTTCTCCAAGTCCGACTAGTCCCACACCCAGGGATGCTATAGCCTGTGACATTCCAATGTCCCTGTCGTTAGTAATAATATCGCAATTAAGTCTTTGTAGCGCGTCTTTCCACTATAGAGTACAGCAAAACAAATCGCTCCCACACAGAGTTTCTTTCTCTTAATCTTAATTGTTAGTATTGTACAATACGTACTTGGCGCGTTCGTCAGATTGATTGTTTTTATTCCTTTCCGACGTGGTAGAGCTAATTTTTCTTTGATCGCAGCAACTTGACGTCGGGGTGTTGTCGGGTGTAGCTTTCGCGCTTGTTTCTTCATCCATCGCTTCCGAACATATTCTCAATAATTCCTGCACTATTAACACATCGTCGGTACCCGCGTACGCGCAAATCTAAGAAGATTTACCGCTTCTTCAATTTGAATTACGTGTAAAACCTTTTTACAAATGAGAAATTTTGAGAAAGTAATCGTATCGGTGTAATTTTTACTTGTAGCATAGTTTGAAACGCGAAGTTGTACGGACTCGGCAGAGCCTCGAGCGCCGCTGATGGGGTTTCTATGGCGTCCCGTGTTCCCATGTAAATCATTCCCAAAGCTAATGGTAGAAATCTGCGGAAGATCGATTGCTGTTACACATATTGTTACACCTTGATGTTTATTATATTTATTTATTTGTAACATAATGTGTGTTATATATTTTATTTATAATATTATAATTAATATTACGCAACACCTGGAGTGTGTATTAACGAGTTCTTTCTTCGACAGTCCAAGTAACTTTAATAAGATGGTCGACGAAACGTCGGAGTTTTCCGATCCTACGTTCACGAGACCCAGAGAAATCGCAGCCAGCGACACGACTTGTATATTATCTGAAAAAATTAATGCGCGAGTGTGATTTTTGAAACTTTTGAGACGATGAGATTTTTCTTGTAGATAATTTCGACAAAATTGTTATAATATTACTTATATATATATGTTGTTTACTGTGTTCGTTAGCCAGAGCATTGGAAAGAAGTTCCGTAACGTCCTTTCTTCGGGAACCGGCGTAAGCTAGACCCAATCCCAAGATAGCTCCGATGCGGAGAGTTTGATTCGCGTTCACGTATTCGCTGAGAAGCGCCCAAGCCGGATCACATTCGTTACGAATCCCGCAATTCACCAGTCCGATGGCTAGCAACGCGCCGGATTTTACGTAGACCTCGCTCGTGTAAAGATATCTGGCAAATTGGAGAAGAAATGGATCATTATAAATTATATAAAAATTAATTTAGAAACAACTTGGAGTTCAAATTTATATTTTTTATATTTTTATAAAAAATCAAAATACTAACTTGTCAATAGGAACCAAACCCCCATCGACGTCCCACATGTGTATCAAGCCGAGAGAAGCGGTGGCCGACAACATTCCGTGATCCTGATGAAAGAAAATGTCTTTGAAAAATTTTATTTGTTACAATTCGCAACATCGAAGAAAAGTGAAAAATAATTTCGACGAATTGAACATTAAAATTGGAAGATGATTTCCGTTAATTTTGGCGAGAAAGAAAATCGAAAACCTTGTTCTTGTACACCCAGCAGTCAGACGTGTTCGCCATCAGCTTGTCCTGTCCGAAACCCGCGTTCACGAATCCGGAAACGAAACTCGCCGCCAAATTTGCTCTCGCGGAATCATGTTCTATTTGTCTGATTCCGCTCAAGTAACTTTTGTAGATATCCTCCGGTAGCTTCGGCTCGAGTATGTCGAGCTCTCTGGCGAGGATCTGAAAATGAGCGTTCACGTGGCCATTGCTGAGAATCGCTTCGATGTTCTTAGCATCGTCTCCGTTATATTCTTTTCTCAGTGGTTGGTCCTGTTCGAGACATCAATTGCACATTAAACATCTCTCTCGAGATCGACATAATTTCTGTTTTTATACGATGCACATCCTCCACACACACATACACACACAAAGTCTTAAATTAGAAAAGTTACTTGTAGCCGGGCAAGGATGAAGGCTAATTGATGTCTGATCAAAGAATCGGGACATGCGGTGAAGCACTTGTAAACGAGATCCGAATTCGCAAGTTGCAACGCCACCAACATCGCTCTCGCGTATTCCTCAAACCTCAGATATTGCTCGGTGGCGAATTCTAATATCTGTCTCCTCTCCGTGTCTTCGCTTGAAAGTTATTATTGAAGAACAAATTTTTGAAACGTTGAAACAATTTAATTGCGTTAACTTTTTAAGATGAGGATATTGTTGTTCGCAACAATTGTTGCGATATTTTGTCACACCTGTACGTCGCGCAGCTAGTTAAATAATGACAAACTCGCGCAAAATTCACGGGGTCCAAGTGTTCAGCGACCAGATTCAGCTCGTCGATCTCCAGGCACAGATCGCACGCCTGTATCTCGGCGTTGTGCTTCATGTCGAACGCGATGATACTTTTGATCAATGGCGTGAGTCGTTTTCTGTCGCAGAAACGGATCATTGTTTTATTTATATTTTTTTTTTTTTTTATTATTATTATTATTTTGACGAAGTGTGTTTCGCGTGATACAACTTTTTTCCTTCGATTTGTCTTTCGAATAATTTCATTCCACCTGATCTTCTCTTCGTCCTTGATCGGCGCGTTCGTCCACTCGTCGACGATTTCGGTCTCGAGTTGTCTCACGTATTCGTGTCCCCACTCTCCGGGATTGTCGACAGCTCCTTTTATGCAAAAATCCAGGCATTCTCTGCCTTCTCCCGAGACGGCTCCCGCCAGAGAGAGCACGCTGAGAATCTCCGCGAAACGCACCTTCACCTCATTTTGCTTGAGTTTTTCGTACGCGCTCTTCAGACTCGGGTAAGAAGTTCTCAAATACTTGAGAGGTTTCGGTACGGATGTCATCGAGGTTGTCGAAGTTCGCATAAGAATTCTCAGTTGATTCAGCGACAGCAACATGGCCGTCTCGTCTTCACCCTGAGAGAAAATTATTTTTGCTTGAGTTCTTTCTCTTTCTCTTTCCTCCGAAATTTGACGCAACATAATTTGTTTATATATATGTGCTACAAGATATACACAAAATAAAGTTTACTTTCAACACATCGACAGCTTGCAGCAGTTCTTCCTGTAATCGTTTATCTTCTTCGTTCTGTAAATGAAATATGAAATAACAGATAGCATTGCGATACTGACAGTGTACGTATAATTGTAAAATTTAAATCAATCATTAATTATTTTTATCCCATCTTCTAATTGCAAGAGATTTAATTAATGTTATGTGCTCACCATATAGCTTTCTTTATTTTGCTCGAGTTTCTTCATTGTTTTTAAAGATTGTCTCGTCACGTTCGTTAAATATTTTTTTTTCGTCGCGTTTTGACAACACACCAACTTAAACGCGATAGACAATTTAAAATTTTTTTAATTAATGTGCTGTCAAATAAATTTTCTTGCTTGTCATACGCGGAGCGCGTGTGTTTTGTTTCATTATATTCTGCGAAAATTGCCAACATTTGTTAAAATTTATTTACACTAGCACAACACAAGCGCGCGCTACGCGCAAGCTATTGTTATTTTTATTTAACGTGTTGTCAGTGAACACAACCTGTCACCGCGATGACAGATAGTATATACGTCTTATAAACCATATAATACACATATGAGAAATGTCAGAAATAGCGCATGAAAATCACACTCAAAAAATAGTGAGAGAGAGAAGTGGAAAAAAACAACACGTGACAGGGAAAAGGGTAAAAAAGAGAATATTATATATATTATATGTAATATATTCTATATCTATATATAATACACACACATACGCATATATGTGTGTGTATATATATATATATACAATACCGTAATCACGTGACCGAAGTCAGTAACACCGCCGCGGTCGCGCGGCCGAGGTCAGTGACTCCACCGCAGTCGCGCGACCGAGGTCATTGACCCCGCCGCGGTCACGCGACCGAGATCAGTGATCTTACGGTAGTATGTACATAATATATATAATATATAATATAAAGTATAATATTATAAATATATAATAAATTATATGTATATAATATATATATTATTTAATATATTATTTATATCATATATACATATTATTTAATGTTATGTATAATATACATTACAGTCACATTACCTTAGTCACGTGTTGTTTTTCTACTCTTTTCTACGTATACGACGAACTGTCTCAAAATCTCTTTTCTGTCATTATTTACTCTCTTGATCTTACCGATTCGATTCGACTCGACTCTACTCGATTTGTGTTTTATAGAAATTTGATCTCGCTATTTTTTCATTGCATTCTCTGTGAAGAACTAAGAAAATCAATAAAATAATTATCGATGAGAAACTGATTGAAAAAATAAAAGAATTTGAAAAAATAAAAGAAGAAGAAAAAATTTCTTCTAACATTACCCTAAAAATAATTTTTAAGTATTTATAGTTGCATAAAAATATACATATATGCACAGTTACGTAAATTATATAAAACCGTATACGTTTTCAACAAGGATTTATTTTACTTAAATTAATTACATATTTCAAAGTTTATATTAAATATTACATCGCTTCTCTAAAACAATAGTTACATATAAAGATAAATATATTTTGTATAGTATAATTACAAGTAGATAAATATCATTTTTGTTTATTAATATTATATATACAATATGGCGAACAGTCAATTTGTAGTCAAAATGTTGTCACATTACGAGTGAGGTTTGAATAGTCACTTTTGAAATTTTGTTTGCCATCCACATTTAAATATTATGTTAGTATTTTGAAATCAGTTAAAGTACAATACAATATATAGTACAAATATAATGTACAATTAAAATACTATTTATATAAATAGAACAATAATGTGTAAACTTGTATAATCGATTTAATAATAATAACGACATTTATAAATATCGTTTCTTATTGTCTAATTCGTATATGTACATTTAGAATGATTTATATTTTGTGCGCGACGAACAGAGATATGTGAAAGATATGTGTGTGTGTTTGTGTCAATAATAATGACCTTGTCGTTGGCTAATTGGTTAATTTCTTATTATGGCAGTAATATGATCTTTTGTAATTTCAATATAAATAATCACAAAATATAAATTTTTCTTTAAATTTTTCGATATTTTCGACATAGTAATGTTCGTTATTAACGTTCCTTACAAAATGACTAGTTAGTTTCTCATCCGTAAACGAGAAATACGCTACTAGAGAAAAAATAGTTGTTTCGTTTTGTGCCGCGCAAAAACAGCACTAGCTAAACGCGCACGCGCGTTTATAAATACTATAAAAGTTTTTCCGATAAAATAGAAAAAATAGAACATGTATTCATTTATTGAAAATTATACTCTATCTACGTCTTCTAATCACGGACAAGACAGGAACTTGCTTGCGAGAACGTCGGGATAAAACGTTTACTGGCGCATATCACAATCTTTTTGTGCTCGGAAAACGTAGTTTGTGCGAAATATATTATCTTGTGTCAATATATATTTATGTAAATATATATTATACATATTTATAATATTTAAATATTATGGCATATGATTTGGTTTTTCGCTATATACAATCGATCTGTGTGTGTGCTGTTATGTGTTCGGAAGACTATTAAGTTCACACTTATAATGTGATCTCATATAAAATTAAAAGTTTCCATTCATTCTTAAAATTCTTTTTGTTTTGTATGCAAATTAAGATATGTTTTGAGTTTATTATTTTTAATATTTTTAATACTTTTTTTTTTATTCTTTCGTAAATTCTGTTTAATATCAACCTGAAAAAATGATCTGAAATAAATCACAATGTTCAAATCTTAATTAATTTCAAAATACAAGATAGCCTCTCTCCTTCTATTATCTGTTTTTTTTAGATAAAAAATTTGTTTTGTCGAGTATATAACGTATATAAATTAAATTTAGATCTTGTCAAGTTCTGCTTGACTTTGGAATTCTCTCTCTCAAATGTTAATTATAAATATTAATTCTTAAATATTTCTTGTGATATGTTTGAATTCGTTGATCTAACTTTTTTCGTTACACACACATTGTTATTAATCGGCACGGTAACAAGATAATGAGCAATGTAATCTAGGATTTATAAATATTTTGTCTTCGATTTATATCGTGTCTGATTGTTAAAATACGTGTGTTATTCTTGTAAAAATCTCTGGCAGTAGAACAATAGGCATAGAAAATTAGAGTCTCGTCTGTTACCAAGCTCCACACTTGAGTTTGTCCCACGTTCAAACGAGATAGCTATTGCGCAACTTTTCGAAGTCGATTCCGGAACGTGTGATTCCCGGTTTTTGTCGTTTATCTTCTTTTTCTTTTTCTTTCAAAAAAAAAGAAATAGGAAAAACGACACGAATCGATATTGTTATTCCGAATATTCGGAAATTGCTTTCAAAAAGTTACGCGACAGCCAGCCAGATATCGAAGTCTCTCGTGTGAGAAGGTCGTAAAATTATATAAAAAACTTACGTATTACATTATTTACTCGGTAAAATATCGAATCTCTTTTTTGTGAAAAAATTCGACGTACGAACTCTGTTCGTCAAAATCGAACAGTTGCTTTTTTTTTTGTTTTATTTTTTACTTTCACTTTCCTCGTCTGAATCTACGCCGTTGAGTATGTTTTGAATCTGCTTAAGACTCTTGCCCTTCGTTTCCGGTAGAATCAATACCGTGAAGAGTATACTGACGATGCAGAATGCGCCGAACATCCAGAATGTCGCGAAGTTGCCGAACGACTTCGTCATGTCGTCCGAGAATTTGGTTATGATGAAAGCCAAGAACCAACAAAGGGACACTGTGATACCGGAAGCCTTGGCCTTAACGTTCGAGGCAAACATCTCGCCCATCACGGCCCATGGTAGCGGGCCCCAACCCACGCTGTAAGTGGAGATGAAGACGATAAGCGCGACCACCGGCAGCCAGGAGATCTGCTCCACCACGTCGTCCGCGTGCTGCACATCTTTCAGATAGAAATACAAACCCAGAGCGCACTGAAACAAAAAACACAAAGGGGGGACACGTGCGATTGTTAAATATGAAAATTTATTGACTGGAGAATTTTTTGTGCAGTTTCTTTGATTTTTTTTTGAACAGCAAGTGAATTTGTTAACTTTGTGTGAATTTTACAAATTTCTTTCTTTTTTATAAAGTTTGCAAAATTTTGTTTTCGTTTCTTTCTATGCAAATCTGTTTCAGATCTGTACGTGTCTGTTCCTGTGTCACGTGCTAATTTGTGTAATGGTTTTATTACGTAATCTTGTGCGACGGCGAGGAAGTTCCCGCGCTAAATTGCATCCGATGCAATAAAGATCGCCGCATTCCATCGGAATGCGGCATCGGAATGTCTGTATTATTACACATGTATAATAGAACGCGACCTTCCTAGACTCGCGTGTCAGACATTGTGCCTCGCGATGCACCTGTTGCACCAACAGGTCCCTTGCGGAAACATTTCCGATAACTATCGCATCGCGGTTTATCTTCATTCAATTTGCGGAAAGAACCGGATTTGCAGATGCTCCTGATTGTGAAAAACAAAAAAAAAAAGATCGAGCACTTCCGAGTCGCGATTCTTAGATTCTCGAAAGTGAGATTAAAAAAAAAAAAAATAGTAAAATGGGATTAAATCCGTTGCTATAAGTAGTAACGCGTAATTACACATGCCGACCGTGAGCGCACGATGACGGAATGCGTTTAATGATCTGATGCATATACTTATACTATCTACACGAGAGTGACATGAAAATGAATCAGCGAGCGCGAGGTAATTTCCCATCAATTATCTGCAAATTTGCCGATTTAGAAGACTTATTCGCGGAATGTCAAAGTCGGGTCAGATCTATTGTAAGAAAAACCGCGTTTAAAACATCGCGAAGACAAAAACGAACGTGTTAGTCTTTGTTATTTGTTTTAATTAAAATTGTAGAAAATTTTTTTTCTACAATTAGATAACCATTTTAATATTATTCCTGAAATATTATATACGAAGAGATAATTTTTATAACAAATTGCGCGTGTATGTATGTATACATATAAATATCCAAAACCTCGATAAAATCAATTACCAAGCTGATTGTTTCCCCGATGCCCGAGAAGACGAGAAGTATTCTTCTGCCCGCCCTGTCGACAACGCCAGGCGTCACCGTCGACGCCAACATTTGCACGGCGCCGATGATAATGGTCGCTTGTTCACTTGGGATAGAACTGCCAGCGGCGTCGAAAATTTCTTGCATATAGAACAACACGAAGTTAATGCCGGTAAGTTGCTGGAAGGAAGCAAGCGCGCACGTGTATATCAGAGCCTTGAAGTTGGCTCTTGTCTTGAACAGATCCGCAACGGTAACTCGCTCCTTGAAAGCTTCGTCGAGTGATTCCTGTAGAAAAAATCAAACAAGACGTAATCATCTTTGAACTTTGTTAACAAATGTAAAAAAAAACTGTATTTCAATCATCTGCACGGAATATTTCACAAGAGCGAATATAATTCAGATTTGATTTCTGTTTCCAAAACCAAAGAAGACCTAAAGTCATCTTTGTATTCGGAAAACAGGTTCGCTGTTTATTTATTGATCGACGTGTAATATTCCGAGTCTTCCTCATCCTCGAAATTTCTAGTCTTTAATGTTAATTCCGTAACAAGTGTTCGAACAGATGCGACGGAACACAATTCGTCAAATTCTTCTTTTTCAACATTAACCGACTGCACCTGGGTTCAGTTCTGAATTATTTCAGGAAGAAGTGTCGTTTGCAAGCCAGTCATAATTGTCCCTCGCGAGCGGACGACATTGTTGTTTAGGATCAAGGAACGGCCTTAGCCGCGACCTCCCTCGTTCTCCCGACGTGACCTGACAGACAACACGCTCCTAGACGTGCATTTAACAATGATCGGCCACGTGCTCGCCACCCAATGCAGGTATAACATTAGCAATTTACCTTGTCGCTCAGAATATAGAACCCGAGTTGAGAAATCTATTTCGGTCAAGCGTTAAACGCGCTCGGAAATTAACAACTCGCAATCAATGTTCCGAGTCGGAAACTCGCAATAAATTTAGATCGATTTTTCTTGTCTCTTTTACTGACTGAAATAAACTTGGACGGATCCGTCAACCGAAATCAATAATTTTTGTCGGAAGATCTTCGAAACGAAAAAAAAAAAAAACAAAATATTAGCGTGAAAAATTAGCGTTTCGAAAATCGAAGTGATATACTTGCCTGTATATCATTGGCCTCGTTCTCGACAGCCGCTTCGGATTTGCTTCGTAGCTTCGACAAAGACGTGATCGCTTCGCTTCGACGACCTTGTCTGATAAGGTAATACGGTGACTCCGGCATCATTATGAAACAGACGAAGAAAACAATCGGCAGAACGGCGCATACAACGCAAAAGACCTCGTAGGAGACGAAGGGTCCGATCGCGTAGGAATACAGCAAACCGATCGTGATGAACAGCTGAAGGAAAGAACCCAGTGTTCCTCTGATAGAAGTCTGAAAGAATGAAAAAAAAAAAAAAAACAAATTGCTATAAATTATCTGATTTTTTTCTTAACGAAAATAAATAATCATTTATTCTTGTTTTGCAGCGAAAGAGAGTGCAATTCTTCTGATGACTTCTAATTAATTTTTCTTATTATACAAAAGTGTTCTCGTAGTGTCACGCTAAGTGTGTAATTAATTACCTCAGCGATTTCGCCGCAATACATCGGAACGAGCGTGAACGCGAAACCCAGAGCTACTCCGAATATTATTCGTGCGACGTAAAGTTGAGCAACGTGACGCGCGGTCCCGACAAGCAGCCATCCAACCAAATGCGGTGCCACGGAGAACAGCAACGTATTTTTGCGACCGTATCTGTAACAAAATATAGAAAACATCTCATCGTATTTTCACTTGGAATCCAACGTATGTAGTTGTTCAACATTTTTTTCTGAATCTCTATCTCTCTCGTTTTTTTTTTTTTATTTGTTGTCTCACTGTCAACGCCCACATCAGATAGAATTTTTGTAATATTCTCAACAATGCATTTTTGTTCGCATGAAAAATCAACTTTGATAAAAACAAACAACTTGTTCCTCGTTCTAATTTCCGATCTTTCGTCTCGACAATCAAAACGCACATTTCGGAACAAAAATATACGCGTTGCATCAATCCCGCTTGTTTCGCGCAGGTTGTTTCTTATAGTCTCGTACCTGTCGCCGAGGTAGCTTGCGATAAAACTGCCGATAATCGGGCCGAGAGCCACCAGAGATCCAATCCAGGTTTTCTCATCCTTAGTGATCTTCGTTCCCAAAGGTCCGCCATTTTCCACCAATACGGGAAGAACCGGACTTGTCCATCCCAGCATAGCACCGGTCGCAACAATGATTACATTAGCTGCAAATAAAAACAAAACACACACATACACAAATTAAAAAAAAATTTCACAGAGAGTGCATTTTCTTTTTTTTTTTTTTTTAAATTATTAATACCGCGCGATAAATTGACATCTCTTCGCGCTGCGAATCGACGTGTTACAATCATTCTTCGGAGGATTCCAGCTCCAATCTCTGATCGCTGAGATATTTAAACGGCGTTAATTCCACATAATTCTCGTATCTAAATCCCGTCTAGCTCAGAAGCCCGAGAACGACGCTGATCGATATTTTATCGCGGATTTGTTAGATAAAAAAACGTTTCATCAACTTACTCAGTCTAAAATGTAAATTTGCATTAATAGTCGCGAATAAACACACCGCGAAGAGAGCCCCGCTGATAAAATGCGATTTACGCACGTGTGTGCACGCGTCAGACACTGTCTAACGTTATTCCACGCTATCGAGGCGGCGTCTCTCACGTTTGTGCAGTTAAGTACGAGAATACGGCGCGTATCGCTAAAAAGAGAGATGACAAATAAACAACCAACTGTATCTCCGCTTGTGTGTGTACAAACATAGAATGAATTATACGGCACTCATTTGTCATCTCGTTACAAATAGCTTAACGCAAAACGCAATGACGGGTGAAAATCCGACGGGAGTTGTGATTGTTGCAACGCGATAATGCACACGCGTCTCGGAATTATCGCGCGTTTTTACGTAATCAATTCAACCGTTGAATCGTTGCATTATCAAGCAAACGCGGACGCGCGTTTTAACGAATCGCGCGCACGTGACAGACGAGAAGATATCGATCTCTCGCGCGATTTTATAACTTGGAACAAAAATATATTTAAATATATTTTCAATCGCGCGTGTATTTTAATTTATTTATTTCCGAGAAGAAAAAACCATCTCGGACCACTTCGGTCCGTGTGTGACCTACGTCCAGTCGATTTTCCAATCGATTCCAATATCGAACGCCGCTTTTTCATCTGTTTAACCGGAAGTCGTTTTCGTGTCTCCGCAAATCAACGCGCGATATTTAATAACGTGCGATTATTTAATCATTTAGACCGGACAGTCGCCTTGAAACAACGGAGTGTTAAAACAGACATAAAAGAGACACGTGTGTTTTTGAGACCGGCGCGTTATCTCAACTCCGATTGTGATACACTGTGCGAACGTTGGATTTATTTTCATTTTGTCACACAATTATAATAATAATAAGACAAAGTGTACAAATATATATGTTTACTCGAAACGTTTTGTCTCTTCTCGGTTATCGTTTGGAAAAAGGTCAAAACGTCGTTTCTGGGAACGCGAATTATCGTACGCGAGCGATTTATCTCCCGAACTGTGGGTGACTTTCCTCTCAAAAAAAAGTGCTGTGTTCGCGCGGAGTTTTGCTCGATTACAATTTAAATCGGATGCACAATTATAATCGCTCGCGCATCAAAGGTCGATGATTCCCTCCTTCTGATTCTATATCCGTACATGTGAATAAAATAAGCGAAGATCTCTCTTTATAATCGCACACGGCTCTTGTCGTGGGGCTATCGTCTCTTCGCGTTTCCTTTTGACCTCTTTTTCGTGCAAAGATCGTACACGCATTGTCGCGCTGCATCGGATTCTTGCTGCGTTCACTAAACCGCGTTCTTTTTTTTGTTTTTTCTAATTGACCGTGCCCGGCGCGCTATCTTCCATGCGTGGCGCAATAATAAAATATGTGTCAAGCACATTATCACGGATGTACAGATAGACACGCGCTCCGCGAGAGAAGATACGAAAACAAAAAAGTGGAACCCCTTGATACAAAGTTCGTCATTCGTGGCATCTGATTTTTAGACGCGGAAAATTTTCGTGACCGATAAGCGATTAATGTAATTTCTTATGTAATTGCGCGTGCATCACACCACGTATTTCTTATTGCAGTTAATTACGATGAAATTTCATTATGCTTATCTGACGATAATACAACTCGACCCGACGCATTGTCCTGTGCAACCGAATTGTTAAATCACACCATTGACAATCGCGAAATAAATAAATAAATAAATAAAAGACTGTTGCGCCTTTTATTTGCGCAGTTGTATTATAAATATTATTAATATATATTATAAATATTATAAATATAAATATTATTAATATTATTAATATAATATTAATATATTTTTTTACTGCGTGTTGTTATAATTATAACAATCACACGCAGTATAATTAATTTTTTACTTGTAATTTTAAATCAATTTACGAAGGTCTCCGATTGCAAGAACAAAAAAAAATTATTGCTATTTCATACAACAGTAATCTCGTCGTAATGTCAGGCGATATAATTTTAAAATCACATTTATCGCAGAGATTTAATTCGCAGAGTTGTGTAAAAAAAAAACCCCCATTTATTTTGAAACAAATCGGCGTAATCTGGCGAGACTTTTGAAATAAAAATATTCCGCGATAACGTGAAAGAGGCGTGTCACTAAAATTGCCACGAACTTTTGCCCCCAAACAGAGATAACACAACGTGATTGTGCATTTCGTGCAGTCAGAGGCGACTGTCCGTTCGTGTAATGTTCGCTTCTCTTTCGCCGGCTTGTTGAAGCTGCTGCAATTGCACACCCGCGTGTTGCGCCTAATTTCTTTATTGCGAGTTTGAAGCTACGTGACAATCCGCTTCTTTTCGCTCGCGGAGCGCGTGAACACGTGCCAGATCGTCGCGCTGCAAAAATACACGTAAAAAAAAAAAAAAACAAACGCCTCGCGCGGGGGAACGTCGATTAAAAATAAAACATATTTATTTAATTAAATCCCCGAAAGAGAGAAAGTGTCGATTGTTTCAATAAAAGTGTCAAAAAAAAAAAAAAATCAAATTCCAAAAACTTTTATTTATTTCTCAGATTTTTATTTTATCGTAAATCTCGCTGCGTTCGTTTGTTGCAACACACGCAACACACATAGACGTGTAACATTTGTATTATACAATAGTTACATTAGCAGATTACGAGCGATGTCGCACGTATGTTGTCGAACAATGACGAAATAATATCGAACGATCAATCGATGAAAAAAAAAAAAATTAATAAAAATTGACACTCTATCGTCTTGATAAGAAAATATATAGATTGTACAGATTAGAAGGGGGAAAGTGCAGTTACTTGGCAATGCAAAACGAAGCTTTTGCTTTGTCAATAAAAATAAAAATTGCGTGACGAATAATAATATGACGATAATATTTCGAATCGCGAATTACGTTCCATCGATTTTTCTCGATTTCAGCTTGAAAAAGGAGGCTCGGCCGGAGAATTGCTCGCGCGTTTTGACGTCAAAATGTGATTGACGTCGTTTAACTTTGCAAAATTCTTCTATTGACGTTGTGTCACAATCGATTGACAAATACGATCGACGTCAACGCGACGAACTTTTGAACTTCGCGCGTCGACAAATTGCGAAAAGAAAAACGCTTTAAAATTTGTAAAAAAAAACAAGATTGTAAACAAACATGTGAAGCAATAGGGGCCCACACGTGGCGTTAAAATAATCTCGTAATCTCGATAACGGGAGGCGTTTACTGGTAAAGTAGATAACTCGAATGTTTGATAAAGTACCGCGTACAACTGATTGTAACAACTGCAAATAAAAAACGACAGTAGTTTTATCTGTCTCGCGATTGTGCGGGACAATGAATTCGCATTTTACAAAACCGTCGTCACATCGAGTTTGCTTTATCATTAGACAAACACCAGGTAAGAAAAATCTAATGACTGACGTGTGCGGGAAAATACGGAATTGTGCGCTTTTTTTTTATCAAGGTTTCAAGAATAAGTTTTTTTTTTTTTTAATTAACGAGAATAAAGCCTCATTTCGATTGGCATACTTAATCTAGGTCTTTTGAAAATCATTTTCTGTCTCATTTGTATTAATTTAATTATTTTTTAATCAATAATCAAAGCAAAATTTCGATTGACGAAATTATCAGCATAGATTTAAAATTGAGATTTTAGCAAAAATCAATTTAAGATTTTAGATCGAGATTAAGATTTTAGAAAATCAAAAAATCGAATTTTTTAGATAAACGCTGCTTACGTATAAATAAATATTTAGATGATACGAAATCTCGCGTTCACAAAATCTCTCGAATCGTAATTCCGTTTAATTCTTCAAATCTCCAAGGAGATTCCACATTTCATCAAATATTTTGTTCGAATCATTTAATAATAATTGGCTCAATAATTAAGATTGTAACAATCGAGTTTCGAAAGTGGTTTCGACAGGTAAGTAAGCAACGCGCTCGGTTTCATTGTGACGTAATGTACTCCATTTCTTACGTCGTCATGTCGTAATTGACTTTTACAAGTCTAAATCTCGAGAAATTTAACACGCGGTACAACAGAACAAAAACAATAACTCGCAAAGTGGAATTTTCAGGTAGATCGATCACATCAGACAGACCAATTGTATTTTTGTAAAAAAAAACGCTTCTAATTGAAAGTCAAACGCTCGTGACAGTTCGCGACATACGACATCGCCCGACACACGGATTTATTCTCGTAAACATATGGCCATGAAGTATCCGGTATCTATGTTACGGATATACTTCGATATATCACGTAAGTCTCAGCGCTGCGAATATCAATTTTTTATTTTATTATTGTTACGCCGACTCGCGCAAACAAGTACAGAAGAGATCATTAATTTACGTGAATTATTCCCTTATAAATAAATAAATTACGTTAATTCTTTTATAAATAAATAATTTTTGAGAATAATGCGAGAATCTCTCTATCCGTTTGTCGCCATTTCAAGGATACTTCGCTCGGAGCCGATCTAATCGGAAATCCATCTGAATTTTTATCGCGCGAGCGTGTCGTCGCTGCGCACGATAATTCGAAATAATTAAGCGTGTGATTCCCCCGGATTGCGAACTCTGTGTGTGACACAAAGTTTCCAGGTGTGTGTGACGTAATAAAACAAGAATTATAACAACACAGAATGAGATAATGATTTGCGCGCGCGCGCGCGCAGAGATTTAGTTGTTTCCGGATTCAGCGCGCGAGAAACGTCACATTCACGGAACGTGAGCAATTTTGTCGTCGATTTCACTCGACGCGAACGCGGTTGATCATTCACCGGCTTCACAATCGAAGGACCTGGTCTAGTCTCATTGAGAATTAGTTCTCGCGAGAAAAATCCACACGCGGAATCGGATTTATCGCGCGCTCGATTACACCGAGCGATTGCATCGGATAATAAGGAAGTAGTTTAAACCGATTGCGATCTTTGTCGGTTAAGATTGAATTCGGTCGAGCGCCGGATGCGAATCGTTTAATATTCCCGTCTCATCCGAGAGCTCACTGTCGAAGGACTCCCCCGCCGGAGGTGGATGAATTTAACGCGAGCGCGTCATCGTCCTCCGTTTTTTGTTTTTTCTCGACACATGACGTCTTTAGATACATTTGTATTTATATTTATTTGATATCAATATATTGTGAAACAGAAATATATATATATATATTTTAAAATATATATATTTATTTTTTGTGGTAAAATTTCATTTCCCATTCTAATTTTTCTTCTACGAGAAATCATCACGAAGAGAATAATTATTTTCAAGTTTTTCACACAACGAGAATAGAATAGCGGATTGAGTAAAGTTTATGTTTTTGTTAAAACAAATCTTCGATTTATTTTATCATTCGATTTATTTGTCATCTTTCAAACGTTAGAGCAAGTGGCTTCGCAAATATTTTGAAGATGTCAAAAATAAGAAATTTACGATTAGCTTCTTGTTCTTTGAAGAAACTTTGTACAAAGTTAATCGTAAAAGAAGGGAACTCGACGCATAATGTGTGAAAAATTTGTGTGTCAGAAGAAGCTGCGACAAAAGAATCGATCAATTAATTGCGTTTACAAATGTTTTTGTTTTCTCACGTTTCACGTTTGACGAAAACTCTGTGTGCGATCGTGCCGTTAATTTTTTTTGTCTCTCATTTGTTTAACACATGGGCTCGATGATAAGAATTAAACAATTAGCGATGAATATACGCAGTGAGAAAATTTCCAGAGGCTTTTGCACGATTACGATAATATTTGCATCTGAATGCATAAAATTGCTGCGCGTAATAATTCATTGTATAGCTATTAACATGTTGTTCTCGCCAAAGTTTTCTGTCATCATCGCGTTAGACAAAACCCTAGTTTGTGACAAATATAATTAAAAAAACGTAATTAATATTCCACCTTACTTGCGCGTACCTTTAAAAGTACAGTCGAATACTCGTCTATTCTTCTTCGCGTTCTTTGTATGTTATTGTGACGAACATTTTCTCTTCACGAACAGAAAGGTTCGGGGAGACTGTACTTGTTTTTCTGTCGCGTGTTTCGATAATGTATGTACAATCGCGACGGATGTAGACATCTGGCGATTTTGACGTGTTCGGTGTTTCTGGTTAGTTATTTATCTCGGCTCGTGTGTCAGGCCTTAGTTTTTTGTTCTATTTTTCTCTCAAAAGTGTGGGGTGTTTCTTTTGCAAATTACGTGTTGCAAAATAAAAAATTGCAATTTTTTTTTTTTTTAATTTAAAGAAACTTCATAATTTTCTTTCCCGCTGGTTGACAATTGCGTTGCACGCGCGTGCAACATCTCGTCGATATGTCGTCACGGTGTTATTGTACGTGATACGATTCGGCAGACGCGCACACACACACACACACACACACACACGCCTCTTCATCTTTTCAATTAATATCGTTCGTATCAAAAGACTAAGTGCACTACGTTACAAGCAAATCGCGCGATTCATTGTTCCATTATCCAATCTGTTAGTTAAACTCTGTGTGTGTTATACAGTCAACGAACGCGTAATTTCTTTCAAAAAGACAGTTGAGAAGCAAGACTCTACGCACGCAAGACATTTTTTTTTTCGCTCAAGTTTATGTCACGTAAATTTGTTTAAATATAAATCTTTTACTTATTGTTTTCCGACCTTGCAGTTCTTATAGATCCTCGAATATATAAACACAATACCGAAAGATTGCGCGAATAAGAACGGGAAAAGCGTCTGGGGTGAAAAATACAATTCTAAGCGTCGAGTGTATGAATCGATTCGGGTTAATTTTCGGTGTAATGGAAGAGAAATTATTCGTTCTACCGTGAATCGTTCGTCGCAACAGTGCATCATCGACTTGCGGACATTGGTCCGTGATAGTGTGCAGAGAAAGGACAGAATCTCGTTTGATCAAACGGTTTTTTATTCCGCCAATATTTTTCAAAGCGAAAATTTTCAATAAATAATACACGTAAATTGTATTCCGTTTAGTAAGTAAAAATTATTTGACAAAAAATCAGAAAAAGTTTGAGAATTTAAAGAAGTACATTTTTTTTTTTTTTTTTTTTTTTTACGTCCAACCTAATTTAATTCTTTTTTCTTGGTAGAAGGGTGTGTTCGTCTCCGTTTTTTTTTTTTTTTATTAGAGAGGACTGGAACTTACCCGAAGCAGCTGCCAGAAACTGGACGAGCGTGGAACCCTTCTCCGTCATGTTTTCGGCGTAGCGATTGCCAGTTGTGTCTAACGGCGTTCTGCTGCACAAATCCTCGCCGCGTTTAACGTTCAACTCTACAGATTCTTTCTCGGGGGTAGTAGCGAATACCGCCGGAGAGGAACTCACTGCTACAGGGCTGTAGGCATAGTCTTTATACGAGCGCCCCTCTATCTCCTCGTTGTCGCGGGTGGGGGTCATTTTCCCAATCTCTCCCTCTCTTTTCGTTTCTCGGCTTCCACTGAACGTTTCTACGTCTCTCTTTCGTTCTCTCCTCTCTCCTGTCTCGCTTCTCGCCGCGCAATCTCAATCGCGGGTCGATCACAGCCGCCGCGACCGACGAAAGATGCAACGACCGACAACGTCTCGTGTCCTAGACCCTGAAACGATTTGTTGTGTCAAGGTCGCGCGACGCTCATAACACACAGGACGCTCGTTATAGAATAAAACCCCATCGAAAGGGGTGTCTTTTGTCCGGAAGATGCTTCGGGTAGATAAAGAAGAATGAGAGACAGAAAGAGAGAGAAGAAAAGAGGAGACGCGCCTTTTTTTATTTGATTTCGACATCTATTTTGAACGGTGTTAATGATCGCGTTAATGCTCTTCGGAAACTTTTACGAAACCTGCAACCTTCCGCAAGACGTTTTTATCAAGAAACAAGCGTTTGTACTTTAGAACAAATAAAAGTAAAAAACAAAAAAATAACGACGCGTGGAAATTAAAACAGCTGGAAATAAAAACCTTTGTTGTTAAAAAATTGTACAATATTTTCCCAAATATATATAGAAAATTAAAGAAGACAATTCAAGAACGAAATCAAAATCCACATAAATTTCATGAGATGTCTAATAAACGTCTCATGAAGTTGTGAACGTCTAATTCTAACGAACGTTCTAATGAAGTTTTTGTGGGAATATTTTTATGCACTAGGAGGGAGTGAGTGGAATGATCAAGTTTTGTGAAAAACGCGTGCCAGAAGAAACGCTTTGAAAAATTGTACGTCTGTTACATCGCGAAACACGTTGGCGAAACCTACCCCTATTCCGACGCGCACGTCTCGTTACCCCCTCTCTCAATCGAAGATGATTCTCCCCTATATCGCTCTCCCCAATCCAAACCGAAAGAGAAAATCGATATAACGCAGTACCACAAACCCGATGTGTCAAATTGTAATTCTAAGGAAAGATCAAACAACCTTGTATATAATTCGTTGTGTTTTTGCTGTGCGTGGGCGAATGTGTTTATCAATGTGCAAATCAAATATAAATTAACTCTTGTTGCACGCTCGATATTTCGAATTGTAACGAAACGTTTTAATTAAATTACAACGAATTTACTGCCTATATTGTGCGTCTCTCTCTTTTCAAAAATATTGCTCCGTGATAAAATTTTCGCTTTTTTGTTAACTTGTTAAATCGTTAGCAACTGTTTTTTTTTTCAAAATAAATTTATTGAATAATTAATTATCTTTCGCGGTTAATTATCTTTCTACGTATAATTGGAAGAAATATTGAGAGATTTTGTTGGAACAAGTGTATTTTTCAGTTTCGCGTGCGTTTTAAGAAAATCACACATTGCTGGCGGTAAATTACGATCGGGTGATCAATACTGTGTTATATCGATACACAATTTTATCGCGCATGTGCGTCAATATATGTTTTTATTCACAAAAACCAAGATATTTGTGAAAAGACTCTCGAAAAAATTCAATATTCAATGAAATTTTTACTGTCGCGTTGTACAACTCCGCGTTTAATATCGAGATTGAGGGAAAAATTTCTCAGGGGATGCTCGAGAACAAATTGTTTCGCATATATATACAATGTGTTATTATTTATATAACCGGGAGTTGAAGGAAAACTTTCACACTCTCTTCGATCAATCTAATAATGATAATCCCTCCTTTTCGCGCCGCACTTTTTTGCTTTGGGTAACAAAGAAGTAATAAAAACAAAGGAAACGAACTCACATATCGCTCGATGATCTAACTGCGATATAAGATCGTTTATCGACGATAGTCGTGAATAAAAAGAAGAGAAAAAAAATCGGAAGAGGATTCGCGACATGTCGAACGATCCAGAAGAGGAAGAAGAGAGAAGAGAACGCACTTACCTGTGTCGCGCACGCACTTGGCAAGAGTGAGTCTTTTCTTCATGTTTCCAGCTGTATTAATAACCTTCGATTATTTTCTTACATAACAAGCAAGGTGCGATAGATTATCGAAATGTATTGAGTGCGCGTTACTGTCACATCAATTGCTTAACGCGTAAGATATGCGATAACGATAAACGGGTCAATCTATGTAACGCTTTTTGTGATAAATTACGCGCAAATTTGTTGTCACAAAATGTTGATTTACCGATGAAACATCGTTTGTTCCGTAGAATATTAAACATTAGCAATCGGCAAAGCGCAATGTCTCTCGCGTCTTTTTATTCAGAAAAAATGTTTAATGTTGTTTTAATATTATATTTAAAAAAAAAACATAAAAAAGACGTCAGAGAATTATAAAAAATTAGAAGAGCTATAGAATTTTTTCAAAATTATAGAAAAAAAAACATATTTTTCACTTTTTTCTATAAACACACTTCAACTTTCTCCAAATCGCAATACGAGAATAGATTAGGATCTATCTTTTCTGTTCTCTCGTTAAATATCGAGAGAGAGATATAATACACACGAACTGCGAATAATGTCACACAATGTGCACAGGTCTTATCAGTTTTATCGCACTCGAGCACATTAATCCGTTTGCGATTTGCGCGACAGTTAAAATGCGATTTAGACATAATAATTATGTCAGAGGCGCAATTACCGAACAACAAAGAAAAACAAGGAAGCAATTTGTTTGTTACGTTCGCGTAAACAAAATTATTCTGAGCGCGCGCAATTAGTCGCTCCAAGTCAAACGTGAGTCTCTCGCCCGGTTCCTAGATAAAATCTTTGTCATTTTTTTAACTAACTTTTATTTTTAGATAACTAATTCTAGAACAGTTTATTCCTCTATAAGTAAAAAAAAAAAAAAAACACTTTATCCTTCCGAGGATAAACACAAATTTTGTTGCGTCAAACAGATAAATCGCGCAACGAGATATCGATTGCTTACTCATTTTTAATCGAAACACACTGTGTGAATCGACCAAATAATTAACAAGATTTTTATTTGCGCAATGAGAAAGAGAGAGAGATTGATTCTCGTTATGTAAATAAAAAAATAAAAATTTTGTACAAACCAGTGTTTATAGTATTTTTCTCAAGCGTATAATTGTAATATGAACATTAAGAAAGACAGCCACTTGTGTCTGCGAAAAGACTTCCACCATTGTACGTCGTTGATTAAAAACAAAAAAAACAAAACGTGCGAACGTGCAACCTGCTGTTTAAGACACGTGCAAGTCTCCCACTTGCATCAATTGTGTGAGAATCGCACGTTTCATCCTTCTTTGCGTCGCGTTTTTTTTTCAGAGAGTCAACATATCGATCGAAAAAACGTGTTACTTAACTTTGTCAATCGGGGCTGACGACCTTTCAAGAAACTTCGCGGGAAACTCACTTTATTCGGTTAGATCGAAACTCGACGTCGAAAAACGACCGGCACGAGTCTTCTTGACGTCGCCAAGCGTCGACGAAGAAGAACATCGAGAGAACGATTTGAGTTCCTGCCATCTCCTGGTTTTGCGAATAATCGCTGTGATACGCGACGCAAGCTGGGGTCCAATTACCAAAGAGCCATTACCCTCTTCCTCGTGTGCTCTCCAACTCCGGTTTTTACCCTCTACATCCAAGGTCCTCGTCATGGCGATTTCTTCAGCGCGACACATTGCGAAAACTGATCGTGCGTCAAGACTCTTCTTCTTCGTTGTATTATCAAGCTGGTGAGAAGTACTGTACTCCGGTGGATCACAACATACGGAATACAGATGTTGGATGAAAAACTCTTCTTCCGCAAGTGTGCGTTCGTTACATGTACCTTCGGCATATAACTCTAGCAAAAATATACGTAAGTGTGTATGTGACGTATTGATTTTCTTAATCAACATATAAATATAATATAATGAGGTAATAATATAATTACCACATAATAAAGTAACAACATAATAACATAATACAATAATAAAGTAATTATAATACGGATATTATTTTCTTGTTTTTTTCCAAAACGACAACACACACATGACTTTTGTTCCTAGATTAACGTGTTTGCTCGTGTATAAAAAAAACACGTGTAATTTTGTTTTCATTTTAATCACAAATACTTCAGATTTGAAAATTCAGATCGATCGCAACACTCCAGATTCGAATTCAGATATCAGAATTTGTTTCGAAGCTTATTTATCGTTTAATGAGGAAAATCGAAAAAAAAAATACAGCACGGTGATATCTTATCGTTTACAAAAAAGATTTGAGGTGAAATTAATTAACGTGAAATTAATCAATGTTAAATAAGTTTAATGTTTCCGCGCCAAACACACGTGATTAATTTTTTCTTTTTATTCTCGAACTAAGAAAATTTTTCTCGCGTTGCAACACCCGGTCGTTTCCGTGAAATCGTTAGCGCGTGTGAAAGTGAGAAGATGACGTACCGATCCTCACCTTTGATTAAACGCTTTTCAAGTTCGCGCTCTTCGTGGAAACAGCGCGGAAAGGATGATTTAATAATACGTGAAAAAATGCGTGACGCGTGAAAAAAGAAAAAAAAAACAGCTGTTGCCGGGAAATGCGAATGGAATGATACGGCGCAGATAATCAAACGTGCGATCCAAGTGCGTTTATTCTGAATGTGCACTTGCGCGCGCTCGACATACATATACATGTATAAATCTAAATGTTTGCGCGCAAATGTGTGCGTATATGTGTAACAACGAACGTCCCCGCCGTGACATTAAACTTTCTTTAATGACATTTAACTCTTCGAGCGATATAAATCACACGACCGGGTGACTTGTCAATACCGGTTTTACAATGTTACAGGATTGGATTAACTCGCCGCGGTTATCTGGCGCGAAGATAAATCGCGAACGAAGAGTGCGAACGTGATGACTCTTTTGTAAAGAATGCATTTTGTGAAAAGAAAAAAAAAAAAAAAAAAGAAAGTGTTCCGAAGTGCGATAAATTTTATACGAGAACTGCCGATGAGTCATTTTTGTGTTAAATATTTTTTTTTTACAACATACGTTCAAAAGCGATCCTTTGAAAAAAAAACCCACGCGTAATATGACACTGGAAAATTTTCCTAAGTAGAAATTAATTGTGCAATGTCGAAACACATTTTCCAAAAGAAAAAATATCTACGTATTGTCTATACGTGTGTTTCTCTGTAATTACGTAATCTAACGAGCAGTCAATGTAATTGCTCGAGAGAGAAACAACGGGTATCAGACTTTATCGGTGAATAGCATTTTGTCTCGATGCGAGTTACGAACTTGCGCAATTTTACATTTTGAAAAGACAACAGGTGAATGTGACAATGACGACTTGTCTCTTACACGAAGCTCGGTTGTAAAACAATTTTGTGACACACCTTGGAAATGTACGTGCATACATACACATACGCGTGGAAAAGTTTCCAGCGCGAGTTAATATCAACCTTCCCAAGGAATTCGTTCCGCGCGTTATATTTTAATTAACACACACTCACTATCCTCGTTTGTTTAATCACGCACGTGTCGATGAGTTACACTCATCGTGCGCGAAAGTTCGAAAGAATCGCGACGGATTCCAACAATATAAATAAAAAGAATGAGAGACGCGCGACGAGTCGAAAAATTTTCCGCTCTGTTCGCTCACGCATCTGTTGGAAAGTTTTGTGTTTCCACGGGAGGGAATAAGGGAATAACACACATCACGTGTCAACAGTCGATAATACCGCGTCCTTATCGCTGGACAAGGGAAGGCAATGATTTTGCTTCGCGACTTTCTCGAGTGTCTTTGATAGGCTCCTCCCAAGCTTGTGAACGAAGAAAGAAATCCTCGATATATAAAATGTCCGTTCTGCAAAGGAGAGTCGTCTTATCGCGATAATTGTCCCTATTGTTGTCTTCGCGAGTAAAAAGAGACGATAATTTTACTTTTTTATTATTTTGTACGTTGTTATTTCAAAGGTATCGATCAAGCTCTCGAAAAATCGTTGCTTTGTTCCGTTATCGTTATTTCGTGTCGTTATTTACGTGATAATAATGGAAACACCTTTTTCGACGGAGAAATCATCTGTGTCATAAATAAGTTATTTCGTAAAAAAATCGCTCTCGTTCTTTACCTTCTCCTACAGTCGTTGAAATGCTGATTGATGGCCTCAATCGCGCAATCTGCGTTATCGCGGTGTGAAACAGTAGTCGTCATAAAGACGACGCGTTTGCAAGCGGGGGAAAAAAAAAAAAGATTAATCGACTTAAGACGCACCTAGTAGCCAACGGAGCATTAAACATTTTTTCCATTCCCCGAGTGTGGAATAACTTATGTTTACTATGCACTAGAACAGTGAGAGATAACGACGCGCATTATCTCATAATTTTCAGAAAGAGCTCGCTTAACAAAAATCGCGTTGCGTCAATATCTCGTCGAGAAATGTTTGTTTTAAGCTTCGATTTAATTTTGCCTGATTAAAGAGAAAGATGATTTTAAACATTGTCAAAAAAAAAAAAACAATATAAAAGAAAGGCAGAAACTAGAAAAAGTGAGGAAAGAAAAGAAATTACTGTACGTACAATTTATTTGTAATTTTATAATATTATTATCTAATATGCACAATTTTTTTATTTACGTCTGTGTGTTGAACAACAAAATAACACACATATATATTTCGAGAAATTATAAAAATATATATATATATATAATGTACATATATATATATATGGCTACGTGATTTTAAAATATTATTCAAAAGCATGTATATTTAATTTATTTGTTTTGTACATGTTTAACTATTTTAAAATTGTAGCAAAAATATCATTTCTTTAAATAGATGAAATTTTTAATTAAAAAAAACACATCAATTATAAATGATCGATGAATTATTATACTTAGGAACGTATATAAGAAGGATATTATCTTACACACATGTCACTACAAAAAAATGATAAGATATCATTTCTCAGATGATGCGATAGTACACATGTTTAAATAATAATGTACGATTAAATGCATGATGATAAAAACTTCGTGCGTCAATGAAATCTGCCAGCTAAAAAATTGCATTAAAACAAGTTTTGAATTTTAGTTTTGAACACAACAAAAAAATACATACGTATATGTTATATAACAAATGCAATAGAGTTTTGTCGAGTTCCTGTAAAAAGTTGTGAGTAATTGTTGTTGCCGCGCTGTGCGCCATTATAAAAAAAGTGATTCTAAAAATTGCTTATTGTCCAGTTAAAAATATCACTTGGAATTTTAATTTTAATATAAAAACGTTTGGATATCATCAAACTGGATAAAAACGCGCAACGTCTCTTAAATTATCTGCGCTAAAAATGAAGAAAACGACGGTTTTTACATTAATAAAGTAGATTCTCTCGCGATTCTCTTCACGTTAATTGTCATGAAGCGGCATTTTACATATGCGCCGTTGTTTTGAGACTACCCTTCAGTGTCTCCTGAATCTCCTGAATGGATTTTCCCTTGGTTTCCGGAACGACGAAGAATATAAACGCGGTGGCGATCGCCATGATGACGGCGAAAATCCAAAAAGTCACGTCGGCTCCTAATTGCTCGTTCATCGCCGGGAAGGTTTTCGTTACGAGGAACACGAGGAACCAATTCAACATTACCGCGAGACCGGAAGCGATCGCTTTGGTCTCCGCGGAGAACAGTTCGGCCGTTAGCATCCACGGTATTGGTCCCATTCTGCGCAAAAAGATTTAAGTTTTACTGTTCCTTCCTGTTTTTATTATTAATATTGTATAATTGCAATTGGAAAAAATCTCACACCAAATAATTTCTATTGACACGAATTTTTGTAATTGTAATTGTTTCGCACGTTTTACACGCAATTGCGGAAGTTATGAAAATGTGTAAAAAAAAACAAACAAACTCACCCAACGGAAAAAGAGATCATGAATAACGTGAGAGACGAGAGCGGTAGCCAGCCGAGATTGCTAACATCACTTCCGCTTGCTTTAATGTTGAAGTACGAACCGAGAGCCACGAGACTGCCTGCCATAATACTTGAGGAGAATATTAGCAGCGGTTTTCGACCTGCGCGATCCACAATTATGGCTGCTACGCCTGACATCACCATCTGCCAGAAATGACATTTCGAGCAAACATAATCTTTACGACAATTAAGTGGTTAATGATAATTGCGGTGATGCAATGTTATATAGCGTAGGAGTAACAACGACAATCATGAACAATTACAGCGCAAAAACAGGTTTGTATGGAAGAGAGAGAGAATTATATAAAGTTTTACAAAAAGAAAGAAAGAAATAAGTTTTTTTCGTTACATCGCAAATCTTGTTCGTAAAAACTTGGAAAAGAAATAAATACCAAGAATAAAAAATGAAACAAATCAAATGAGAGATATTTAAAAAAACACTTATTTAAGTATATTTCGATTATTAATTAAAACGCGTGAACAATCGCACCTGAACTATCGCCACCACTACGGAAGCGAGTTCCGGCGCCATCGAGCTTCCAGATGCCTGAAAGATGTTGACCGTGTAAAATATCACCGCGTTTATGCCGGACATTTGTTGAAAGAACATGCAGCCCAACGACGCAACGAGAGCCCTTTTGTTCGCTCGAGTGCGCACTAGATCGAACACGCTCGATTTCCTCGCCGTCGCTTCTTCCGCTTCTCGCTGGATTTGCGCAATTTCCTCGGACGGGTCGTAAGCATCGCCTCGAAGAATCGTCATCGCCAACGTGGCTTCCGATTTTCGCTGTTTGTTCTGAATATATATTCAAAATACACATTTTTACACATAAAATTCGTCATTTGCGAAACAAAAAAAAACGTTCGCGTAATATCAGCTGTAAGATTTTTTTTTTTTCATTAACGCGATCATAAAAAAAAATCGAGGAAAGAAGAATTCAGCCAACCCACCAGCAACCAGACCGGCGATTCCGGCATCCAAACGAAGGCGAGCAGGAAGGCGACTATTATGAGGGCGCAGACCACGGCGAACGCCGTGTAATTTATCTGGTTTCCGAGAATGAAAGCGAACAGAATTCCGATCGTGAGAAAGAGCTGGAACATGGCGCCGAGGGTGCCGCGGGTCGAGATCTCCGCGATTTCGGATATGTACGTGGGCACGAGAACGCAGGCCGCGCCGACGCCGATCCCGACGACGAATCGGGCTATGTAGATCAGCCAGAGTTTGTACGCGAATATAATGATCACCCAGGAGAGCAAGAACGGGGCCGCCAGTAAGAGGAGAGATTTCTTTCGGCCGAGTTTGTCGGCCATAGGACCGGAAGGAACGGCGGCCGCCATCGCGCCCAGAGCTAGCAACGAACCCACCCAGGAACCTTCCTCTTGCGAGATGACCAGCCAAGAAGTTTTTTTGTACAAATGAGGCAGCACAGGAGACGTCCATGCCAGAGCGGTACCGACCCCGATCGCCATCAAGGAGGCTGAGAAGGTTGAAAAAATGACATTAATTTTGCAATTAAAGCAAACAGAAAAGAATAAATATTTTTTATCCTACTGTAATATGTTTCAATATTAATTTATTTATTAAAATTGTAATTTGTTGAATTCGAAGAACACACAGGATACTAAAATCGAGACAAGTTTACTTCAAATTGTTTAATCTAGATTAATTTTCAATTTTCTTGTTTACGCACGCGCTTCAACAATCGCGTTCGAATCTGATTGGCTTATTCTCAGTATTACTTGATTTGTATCATCGACTCACACACAGTGTCATTAATTTTTTTTTTTTTTTTTAATTTATCAGGTTCGCGCGTGTGAATGTGTTTTCTAAGAATCTAAGTTAATTCTTATCAGTCATTGATATAACACGCGCGCACAAAACTTGAAAGAATTTTATAAAAAAAACTTATAAACTTTATTTTATCTTTTTTCCGTTTAAATTGTTTCTTTTTCCTTTTAAAGCGAACGACACGACAATTAAATAGAAGTGAGACGATAACGGACACATTTTAACGGAACGATTATTAAATATAAATCTACATCATACAATGCGTTAATTGTGAACGATCATCTTCGATGTTATATTAGTCCGTAATCGGCACAGAAGACGCTTAGAAACTATTATCTGACGCGCGCGATAAGGGCCGAATTATTACGTTCAACATCGAAAATATCCAGAGACGACGAGATTCGACGCGAAACGTCGAACAGTAGCGCGTTGTGATGATTCGGGTATGAATTGCGTCGATTCACGAAATGTAGCCTCGCCAAAACAGCAAATCCGTTGTTCTTTTCGAGTTCCCAAAAAGAACCGGTCCCGTCAATTGTATATTAATTATCGCGAATCACTGAACTCTCGAGCACACAAAAACTCGCGCGTTAAATTTCAACGAAATATTACGATTGTCCCCCCCTTCCCCCAAGAGAATCGTGAGCGAAATATACGAGACATTTTAATTGACAAGATGTCATTAAGAAACGAAGAGTTCATTCATTGTAAATGAAACGGCTCTCTCGACGTAATGTCGTTAACTTTGTCAAAGAGACAGACTCGCGCGAGATAATTCATCGGCGCAACGTTGCGATTCATTGCTTATTTTTTTATGATTATGACTCGCGGCCGGAATTCAATTAGTACAACGAGACGGAACGTATATCTTCGATACTGCGCGAACACATTATAGAGAATTAAATGACAGAACGAAGCGCTGAAGACTTTCTCTTAATTAATTGCTGAAATTAAGTGGCAAACTTCAAAAATGTCAAACGCTGTATTAATGTTCTAATTAGTGAGATTCTAGCTCTGTTTCTGTGATGAAAGACCGGAAATGTAAAAAAATACAAAAAGTTTCTGTGATGACAGACCGTGAATTTGAAAAACAAACAAACAAAACCAGAAATATAAAAAATGGCGTAACAATAAATTTCATGCCACGAAAAACTGCTCTGATATGCAAAACTTGAAACAAATGCAAATCCACACACTCACAAAAGCAATGGTTTTATTATAAATATTTTTTCCACGTAGGTACACTTTTTTATGCAATCACATCGAGTTTCGAGTTTCAAGATTTTCGTACAACTTTACAATTAATATCAATCATCATTTTGGTTAATACCGATTACCAGAAAACGAGTGACATATTTTTCTATAATTTTCAATTTTTTTTTCGCGACCGATCATTCAATTTACAAAATATTTCAAAAGAGAAGAAAAAAGTGTGACGACGATAACGTTATAATGCGCGCAATCATTCAAATACCGGACATCGTTGCGAGGTACTGCCACAGCTTCCGACCCTCTTGGCGCACTGGAACTCCACTCATCATCCCCGTGCCCTCCATACTTTCTGCGTGGATTATTCTCGATTCGCGCCTCCGATCAGTACCGGTTTCCGGAAGCGCGAAGATGTGTCGTTTGACGCGACAATCTCTCGCGATAGTTACAGTGTGTGTGTGTGTGTGGCGCGAGTTTTCTTCTTGTTTTTTTTTTCTTCGCGTCGCGAGTGAAGAAAAAGAAACGACGTTCAAAAACGAAAGTTCCGGAACAAGGAAAAGTTCGGGGATGACAGTTACATTCCGAACGACGCGAAGAGAACCGAATGAACGGTCCGCCATCGGGACCATCGCGTATATCACGATCGTCACTATCTGGTTATCCCATTATCAGCAATCTCGCGGCTTATCTCTCCGCGGCATCGATCGAAACCAGAAAAAATTTAGAAATCAAGATATATACCGATGAGATGCGCGACGTTGAATGCGCACGGTGTCAAAATTTCGACCGCGCGCCACCCAACTCCGGGCAAAATTCTACACCCCCCGTTTTCCCGTGCGACAGACGCGATTTTCACATTTTCCACGCTCACTTCCCTCCCTCGACTCTTCATTTCTTCTCTATTGCATAATACAGACATTTTATTGGAAGAGAAAAAGCTTCAAATTTCCGTGACTTCTTATAACAAGACAAGTTTTAAAAGATAAAATAATAAATTGCTTGTAGGGTAACTCTTTATTAATGTTTAAAAAGACATCTTTTTGCACCTGACTCACAGTCTTTTGTTTTACACACTTTTTCAATACTAAGTTACACCACTGTACAGTGCGTCCCAGTATAAAACTTCGAAAACCATCATAAAGATATTTGAAAGAGGGTTCAAATAATTTAGACGTCTTTAAATATCTTTACGACGTTTTTCGGACTTCTGTGTTCGAGTTGTATAAAAACTACGATTACGTTTAATAATTGATATTTGATCTATTTGTTACCTGTACATACGCGATGTCTTTAAACGTAACAGATATTGCGGATCACACGACACAAACATTGACTTCACCAGATTGATCGATGCTTCCCGTTTCGTAAAGACGTTGTTTGAATCTCGTTCGGGAAAACTAGACTTACTTAAGTATAATATTACAGTTCCGTAAACTCAAGCTGTTTGAAACCAACAACAACAAGAGGATTAAACCGGTCGATTATTTACAATCAACAGTCACATTGCAAAATATGATTGTAAATACGATGAAGTACTATGTATCTAATTATCATCAAGATTGTCATTATCAGTTGCTTATCTTTCGAGAGACAGAATTTTTTTTTAAATTTTAATAAATCTCGATCGATGGATTTGAGAGGAAAATCTCTTCTTGTTACGCGTCTAATTTATCTTGTTATTGTTATACGAATGTTGAAGAAATGAAAATTCATATTGTGTCTGAATTCGTATCTGTGTTAAACGTGCAATTCGATAAATCAATTCTCCAGCATGCACAACGCGCGCTCAATGTTTAAAACAATTGCAATAAAATCACGCGACCGTAAATCAGTTCTGTATTTGATTGCAAATCTCTCGATATCGAAGCGCGAATGTATTTTATCTGGCGTCATCGAGGTGAAAAATCGAGCGAGCGTCGGGATCACCTGCAAAGTCTGTGCGCGTCTTATCGCGATTTTCTGAAGTGAAGGGCGAGTTTATTTAACGATTAGATCTCTTTTTCTTTGATGTCACCTAATCGTGTCGCGCGAGCGCAAATAAATCACTTTTTCCGTTGTATTATCGCATCGAAGTAAAAACTTTATATAAACGAGCAGCAGTTCGATGATGAGAAGAAAAGACTGCGGAAGAAAAAGTAAAAGAGAATAAAGAAGATTCTCGAGAATCTTGAAGTGTTACTTTAAAATAAAAAAAAAAATGAGTGATCATGATAACGTTCACGTACGTGTATAAATAATTGCATACTAAAAACATAAAGTGAGCCTTACAGAAATTTGATAAATCGATGCGGCCAAAATATCGTACTAGGTTTTTTTGTAAACTGTTAGAAGTGACGAAATTTTACTAAATCGTGCTTTTAACGTACCTATTAAAAATACGTGGCGAACAGGCTTAAATAAATTAAACGATTAAACGGAGTAAATGAAATCTCTCTCAAACGTCAAAATATAAATCCAAATTTATTGCTTTCGAAAGGAATCGGCTGCTCTTCACAGGACAGAGATGCGAGCAGTCGTGTTCGACGTGTCAAAAACTACGAGTTACAATTATAATATACGGTGTAAAAAATAAAAATGGAAAATCTCTCAAAAAAAAAAAAAAACGCATTAGGATGCTACGACGAAGTCGATACTTCGCACAGGCACTGATGAATAGAAAGGGATAAGTCATGGAATGATTTTCGAAATAAGAGCGGCAAGGAAATCGGATCGGTGTCCTAACAAATACAAAATGAAGTGACATCTTAAAGTGAAAATCTCTTACATTCATTTCTTTTTTTTTCTCGCAGAGTCGTGCGGTTGAACTGCAAGCGCATATCCCGAATGCTGATTGAAAAATATTTATAAATAAAAATGTTGATTTTTTTTAATATACAGTGAAGTATTCTTTTTCTTTAGGATTTCATTAAACTGTTATTTTTACGTTATATATAGAACTTTTGTTATTTCAATATTTATCTCGCAAACATACATGGCGTTTAAACAACAAACCTCAACATTCGTGTGCGCGATGTAAATCCTAAATGTACAAAAAGAATTTTTCACCAACAAAAAACAAAAAAATTTGTATCTTTTTTTAACTGAGATATCAGACTCTCGAATTTACGAATGAAAGTGTTTAGAATAAATAAAGTCTAAATTTCAACAATAAAAACACTCTCGATTCAATCGCATCTTGCAAATATCTTCAAGTGTCACGACTCTGCTCTTTGCGCGGCACATTAAAAACATAAACGTAATTACGATTGTCGCAACGCGAAGTGACGATCAATTGCGAAGAAACTTGAATGACCGTTTAAGTATCTGTCGCTACAGTATCTTGAATATGCTACTTCTAGCGAACTTCGTGCAATTGACTTAATTCATAAATGTGCTCTTTTTTTTAACGCGTAAATTTTTAACGCCTTAATTTAACTTAATTTTCTGTAGTTCTGATATGCAATTTTTTTAAATTCCGTGCGTGCGATAGGACGATGTTGTAACTTTTTTTACATTTACAGTCAAAAAAAATCTCTTTCGACTTTGTTACTTAGTTTAGCGTTAAAACACGCAGCGCGACAAGAGTTGTTGCACGTTCAAAACTTGTCACTCTTTTTTAACTGAAACTTCGCGAGCTAGAAGTGTTATCTGTTGAAACACACATGTTATAATACGTAGAGAGTATATAATATATATACAGAGCATTTTTTTTAAGAAAATATCACCTTACGCGCTAATAAGGCTTTCCTCCGTTCCGAGTTCTGACAATGGACGGATTGTGCACAAGCCGATTTTTCTGCGAATGATTAAGTAAGTTGCTTATTATTTCTACCCGTCCATTTTTGGTGTGTTTATGTGCTTACGGCTATTAATTATACAAAAAAAAAACAAAACAAAACAATACGATCGACGTATATAAACGTGAGATTAATTTTCGAAGAGGGAAACTGTGCTTGTGTTTCGTTCTCGAACGAACGACATGAACAAAGTAGCTCGAAAAAAAAAAAAAAAAACATTCCGGATTGATCCTCGCGTGTGCTTGTCATTTCCGCTACGTAAAAACTTAAACTAGTCTTCGTAAAAAAATATCGTTCGATCGCATATTTAAATCACCTTGCGTTAAAAAAACGTGTGTGTGTGTTATATATACCGTAAAATCTCTCACACTCTGATCTCACAAGTAATTTCTCTGTTTTCTTTTTCTTTCTGGAGAACGCACCTCTCAGGAAAGAGATCTTGGGAAAAACTTCTTAAATCTTTTTTCGCAATTGAGCAAACGACGATCTGCGAATCACAACGCCGACAATTTTTGCGAACTTGTGTTTTTAATCTACCAAAGACTGTTGTTTAGTTTTAATCCGCGTAAATATTTTAAACAACTATCGATTGTGAATCACTAGTGTGTAAATATTGGTTGTTAATTATTTGCGCACGTGAAATGAACAGAATGTGCTGCGCAATTACGACATTAAATGAATTCTTGTGTGTGTGTGTGTGTGTGTGTCTTGAGAAGAGATCGGGAAACATCGCAGAAGGATCAGAAAGCGGTTTTGCGAAGTTTTCGCGGAACCGAAAGTCAGTCTTTGTTACAAATGCGCACGACTAAGAAAATTAAAAGAACTCCTTTTATATTTCTGATTCGTGTGACAATCTCTTTCTCTCTCTCTCTCTCTCTCTCTCTCTCTCTCTCTCTTTCTCTCTATCGATATTTATAAATAACTACAACTGCAAAAAAAAAGAGACAATAAAGAGAACTAAATACCGTAGCACGTCTTACGATGTATAAGACGATATATACGCAAAGAGTCAGATATCTGAAACAGATCTAAGAGAATTCGGGTCACGCGCGTTTTCTCCATCACACAAACTACCACAAAACTACTACGTGCGTGTACGAAAGACGCTATCGTATAATTTTGTCCGCGTCCTGATGAAAGAAATCGTTGAATCCCCGCGTTTTGTTAAGTAGTTTGCCTTTCTCGCTGATATCGAGAACGACGAAAAGCGATCCTCGATTTCTCGAGAGTTCAACGAAACTCGAAACAAAAAAAAAAACAAGAGAGATACGACATTTAGAACTAAAAATAGAGAAAATAAATAAAATCTTGAGATATAACGAGTCCCGCAACATTTTGACATTTTTAAAATAAATTTAAGTTGGTAAATTAAAATTTTTAGAAAAAAAATCAAAATCTCGAGTTCTCCTTTAACTGTTTATTTTATTTTGAATTCTTTGTAATTATCAAGAAAATTTATCCGCAAAATATGTATGCATATGTACACAATTGTTTTTTTTTTTTATTACAAAATTATTTCGCAAGAGTTCTTGAACTCACGAGATTCTCGAGACTCAATTAGAGAGATTGTTATCAACTCCACACGTTACAGCGAACGAACGTTCTTATTATTATACTGCGAGAGCGCAACAGACTTACACCTGCGGACGGTCAACAGCAGCGAAGCACGCGCGCGAGAGACTTATAACATGTATTAAAATATTCATTAGCGGAAGACTAATTCCGCGATCGATTTGAGTGTTTCCTAAACACGATGGCGCGCGAATTGGATCGTTTATTTTTGTGAGATCGAAGAGGAAAAGGAGGAGGATGAGGATTATCGCGCTTTTGATCGGAAGTAATATTTCTAAAGCAGCGCGAGTAAAATATTAAGAACAGATCAGAAGCGCGATGAAAAGAAAACGATGTGATGTGATGCGTATTATGAGATGCTTAAATTACAAAAATGTTGTATCCTGCGACAGTCGGGCGCAAGAGCAGTCTATCGCGTTATTAACCTGAGTCAAAGATCATCAAATCTTAAGCAGAGTATTGTACAGGAAAAACAACTTTCCGGTGTCCGTTGTGTGTACGAGTTTGTATCGCCGGCTGGCCATTCTGTCGATGAAGCTCTTCGTCTCGGCCTCGCTGTGATGAGGATTCCATCGTATCGACACTACAGATATTCTCGTACTTTCCCACGGAATGGTGTCGAGTATCTGCGGAACATTTTTTCCATATTGTTCTTTTACGAGATGTTCATCGCGCTTGTATATTCCGTTATTTTGTTTTTTTTTTTCAAGGAATTTAATTCCGCGACAGTTTGCAACTTCGCGCTTCGAGTTTTTCGCGAGCGAAGAATATCTCGCACACAAACGTAAACAAATAATTTTTTTCAGTCTCAACAATGTACGCGATCTCTGTTTTTTTTTCCAAGTGAAACAAACAAATAAAACTAATAAAATAATTTATCTGCGGAGATTTAAAGTAATAGTTATTGATTATACATTTTCGCTAAATTATTGAATTATTTGTATTTTTTTTTTTTTTACCTGACCATCGGGAGCGTCGGGACTGTCGAGGCTTAAATAATCCAGGGTGGTGGCGTTGTATGCCAACAGCACGCTGTAGAGAGGAAAGCATTTGAGTCTGGTGGTGGGAAAACCGTCGTCTGATGACACAAGGCTGTTAGGTCCGTCGCCCAATTTGGTAACCTGAACCTCCGACTCCTGGTGATACTTTATCTGCAACAAACCAGATACTTCATACTGTTACGTGCTTCTATGCAAAGTAGTGAATATTTTGAAATAAAATACACGATATTTTCTGTGAGACTTTTGTTTAGGGCTGTTAGAGCATATTGACGTTGCTCTTCAAAGCTACGAAGGACTTAAAAAAAAAAACACATAAAACGAACCTTTGCTTCTGAAACGAAGTAGTTTCATCGGCAAACTGAAAAAGATTCGAGCGGGGAAAAAAAGATAAAGTTTTATTGAAGGGAGCATTCAAGTGAGGAAAGAAAGTTTAACGGATTTATTAGTTTCTTAGTTTACTATTTTGATTGGTTGCTTGGTTGGGTTAAAAAAAAACATAGGTCTTCGAGAAGGGTTGCGGCACGTCGTAACCAACACAGGTACTTCGAACCTTGCTTGATTCTCGTAATTCATTTCGCATAGAATTTTCTCACCTCTTTGGTATCCTCGTCCGTGCTGAGACAAGCGTGCAGAACTCTCGACTGTGGATTTCTGGTGCTTCTCTGCGCCTCGAAGAAACTCCTAGGCTCGGTGAGTATCAACACACCACGCCAGCTCAGATTCGATTCCAGCCAAGCGGTGCTCGAAATCGCGCCTATCTGTAAGAAATACACGACGTGGTCGCATGGTAATTAGTACAAGTACACGAATTTGTGATCCTGCCTGCGGCGAGAGATAGAAATCAAACTGCGCTATCGAATTAATTTCCGCCCTTGCGCGGAAATAACGAGAAAAGATAAAAGCGAAATGAAGATAAAACGAGAAACTCGCCGATTTTTGTTCGTCTATTTTTATCCGTTTTGCGTGACCAAAGATAATTTCCCGGTTTTGCGTGTTTCGTTAACATATTTGCGGCGCATGATAAAAATGGCTTGTGCGTGATAAAAATTGTCTTGTGTTATCTGTGAAATCTAGGACTGTTGTATATACAACACACAGCCGTACCGACGTATCGGTCTTCAAAAACGAAGACAAAAACAAAAGTCACAATAAAAAAAAAATTGAAGATTTCTGACGCTGCGCAACGTACACGTGAAACGTGTTCGGCAATCGAAACGGAAGATTCTCACCCTGCTTATGTACTCAGCGTAAACACCTTCGCGTTTGCCCTGCGTCAAACTCGCCACGTACTTCTCCTCGGATGTCTGGTTGGCGCGCAAAGGATCCTGATGAGTCGTCGGTTTCAAATGCACTTGCCGTATGTAAGCGACCAGTTGGGGATTGTCCATGGATACGCTATCGAGCACGTAGTCCCTGGTCATGTTCGCGTCGAACGCCTGCCTCCTGTAAACGAAACATCGAATTTAATTAAGAGACATATATACAGCGAAAGATCTAATTGTATTTGATCTGAAACCCAATTGTGTAATCTTGTGCGGTAAAACAAAACGGAGAATACAAACTGCCAGTGTAATTTCTCTCGCTGAGAGATCTTTTGGTCTACTTCTATACCAACTCGAGAGAGGATTGCACGATTTTCTAATAATGCAAACTAATGAGATTCGCCGTCATTGTGTGATACGTTTTGTCTGCGAAAGGGAATGACTTCAACGACACAATCGAGTTAACAAAATCGCCGTAAGTATAGTTTATAACAAATATAGTTTATAAGTACAGTTCGTTGCGAGAGTATACCGAGACGAAACAAACTCGCCGTAAGATCGTAATCTTTTGTTAAAACGACGAAAAGATCAAATGCAATTTTTTTTTTTTTTTTGACCGTATATAATTGGTGATGTAATATAAGTTACCTCAAAGCTGCGGCCTCGCTCCAGACAAGAAGCAGAGCCATGGCGGTACAAAAGGCGGCCAGAAAAGCCAAGCAGGGGGCCACTCGCTTCCACCAAGTTCTTTTATAACTGGAAAATGAGGCGTTCGCAGGCCCTACGGGCGGTGGCAGAGTTCCGTTCGGCGAAGGAATCCCTGCGGGAGCCATTCTGTGAAAATACAACGAGAACGTGTAAACACGCGCAAATTACAGTGACCGAGACACCCAGGTGAGTTGAAAGTCTGACAACTCTTTTGAGAGAGACGTGTCGGGTTATTTCAGCTTATTGTCAAAAAGTTGCTTCTTCTAAAATCCCATGGGATTATTCGCCAAGTGTAAATATTTTAAAAAATCTGAGTAATTGTTATCTTTTACTCGTATTGTATATCTCAACATCCGTACAGAATATCGCGTTATTTTAAATAAACTAATTCTTACATTACATAGAACAAAAATTAGTAAAAACTGGCTCTCCAGGAATTAGCGAACATTATTTGACTGAGAAAGAGAGAGAAGAAATTATTCGTTCAATAACTTACTAATTTTAAGCACATTAAATTGTCGCAATTGAAAAACGATAGATACTATTTAAAAAAAAAAAAAATTTTTAATAAATAAAAAGTGAAGTTTTAATTCAACGTTTCAAATGCGTGAAAAATTATAGTTAAACTCGCATTTAATAAATCTTTCTTCGATTCAACTTTCGCTAAGAATTCTTTTTTTACGATCGTGACGTGACTTTGAATAAGTAAGCAACAAATAAAGAACCACAAATCTTTTGGGATTTATCTTATGTATATGCAACACAGCACGCAAGATACGCGTGAGTCACAATGCACTTTCTAGTCACTATTTTTTTCACTCACGTTCAAGTGAATGCATACCTAAGGATTCGAGACACAAAGAGGAAAGAAGACCCTCACAGATCGAATTATCATTTATATCGTCACGTAATCGCCATTTTATTTTTTCAAAGAAAAATTGATTTTCGTTTCTACGAATTTGGATTTTTGCCAATTTTTTCGTTCCTGAATTTTAAATGTTTTTTAAATTTATCACGTTTTTTTTTTTTATTTCAGTTTTAATATTGTATATATATATCAGAATTGAATAAAATATACAATTTACACACAACTGGTGATCGATCTTAACGTATTTTTAATGCTTTAGAGAAGTAATGTGAAATTAAAATTATTTTAAGATTAAATTTTAAAACCTCTCAATTATTATGATATGTTAATTACTTCAATTTTAAAAACATTATTCTTTAGCTTAATTATTAAAACAAATTAATGTTAATATATTAGAAATCATACAAAGCACGTGCGTTATAAAAAAAAACAAAAAATAAGATAAATTCGAGCAACAAAACTATATGCAATTGCTGGTTGCAATTCGAGCGAAATAAAAGAAATGTTATTGTATATATATTTTTTTTCCACACACGTAGACAAGTTGCGCGCGTTACACGAAGTATCGTCTGCCCCGTTACTTGTTTCACACCGTTAAAGCAAGATTCACTAAGTTAAAAGAAGTACACGCAAAAAAACACTTCGCATCGCTTTCTATCTTGAACAAAACTAAAATACTTCTATTGATTTCTAATGTTGAAAGTTACGGACAGTTCATGTCAAAAAGTTCGCTCAAAATAAATTAATTAAACACCTCGCGTTCTCGATACACATGTTGTAACGCAATTACGACGCTTTCGACCGCATGTGTCCATCGCGATTTTACTCACTTAACTTACTTGGCTTTCACCAGCTTTACGATGACCGATGATATTTTCCCTTATCCGTGAAATCGCAAACTTTGCGCGTGTATACGCGCGCAAAGGAACATTTGTATCTTGTAATACGCGAGAACACAAGACGAACCACACGGGGCCGCTTTGGGACGTTTCGCTCACGCGTGTCACCGTTTGTGTGTCACTTCTTGTGGCGCGAATTCTCTCGGTTTTTAGATTCCGCAAAATTCGCACTCCTCTCTGTCCTCGCCGGAACCGGATACACGTTGTTCGCAATTATCAATAATACTTCCGATTGTTACGCACGCTTCGCGTCAGATTCGCGTATCAGTTGAGCAACGTCAACGAGAAACAATCACACACACGCGCGCACACAACGCGGCACCGGCAAACGTTGTCCGTCACGTGGCGAACCCACCTTCCCGCGTGTTGGTTGTGTCGTCGTCGTTGTTGTGCGGTGGTCTCTCTGCCGTGTCTCTCAGATCTGCCCGGCTTCTCCTTCCCCGAGAGATCGCGTTCCCGTTCCGCTTTCCCCGACGACGCGAAAATCTCACTCGAAGTGGGAGAATCTCACGCCAATCGAAAAGAGCTCCGAAGGTTCTCGCCCCTTCCCGCCCCGCTCTTTTGTTTCCAAAATTGTTTTTTTTTTTTTTTTTTGTCGCGCGAGATGCGACGAAACGAATTAAAAATTTCAAAGTTGCAACTTGCGATCGAAATCGGATTTCGGAGAAACGTATTTTCCTCCCCCTCTGATTGTTTGTAAAGATTATTATTTTCCGAAACTTGGAACGAGAGAATCTTCTCTCTCAGAATCCGAGATGCGAATCCTACGGTTTTTTTGTTCGCCGACAGGAACAGCTGTTTGTTTCTTCGCGAATGCAATTTGATTTCTTCGAAGATTGTTTTTTTTCTTTTTGTTATTTTAACTAATTAATTGTTATAGTTTCCCCCGAGATATTTTGTTTATTACTTTTTGTTTTTCGAATATATTTTACTGAAATTTCGAATCGCGAAGAACAAAGTGCGTGTATTTGTTTTTTCGAACGTTTTCTTCGGAAGCGAATTTTTTGCGGAGCGTTTCGTCGCAATTTCGTGTCCTCTCTTTTCTTTTCGCGTTCGTTTTTTGTCGCACGACGTTGTTCCCTCGGAGGAGATTCTTCTCGTGTTTCTCGGTGTGCAACTGGATTTTTATAGAAGCAACCTCTCTTCAAGCGCGCTATTTACCGCGCTCCCTTCTTTAATCCTCCTCTTTCCCTTGTTCTCACGTTTTCTGTACAAAAAGTGAACGATATATTTTTTCACGTGTTTCTTCGCACGAGACCGAAACTTCTCCGCAACGTTGATAATTCTTGACGTTCTTCCCGCAATTTTTCTGCCAACGAAACGTCGATCGCTCGAGCAATCGAGATCGATTCGCGATCAGCGGCTCGCGCCGAAATTCCTTTTCTTTCTTTTCCTTTTCTCCAAAGAAATTTCCGGAAATATTACTTTTGCTCTTTCCTTTTCACATCCTCCGGAATGTCGGAACATCGGAAGATTTCTCGCGACGAAGACTCCGGACACCGCACCAGAAAAGAAACCGCGCCGACGGCAAAGAAACTCTGCGACAAAGTCGCTCGAAGCGCGAGAGAGATTTATTACGACGCGATTTCTTCCGTTTGTCCACGCCGACTTCCTCGCCGACTGACATATATCGGGTCACACGTATATCGATTTGGCCTAAGACGACAATGACCGAGCGTCAAACGCGGAGCGGACACGCGGTGGAGGAGCGGGGAACACAAAGGCAGCAAACGGGTCGAAATTGTCGAGCCGCAACGCGCGCGACGCGACGCGACGCGACAGACGAGCGTTCCGGACGCTTGTGACGGCCAAGAAAACGCGTGTGTATTATAGTCGTCGAATGTCGCAATGCAGCGGCGACGTCGTCGGCGGCAAATACACACACACGGCGGCGGCGGTGCCCGCCGCCCCGTCGCTCTCGCATCTGTCGTCGTTCGTCCTCGTCGCGCGCGCGCTCGTATTATTTTTCCCTTCTCTCTTCTCCTCCAACCGGCTGTCTCCGTCCCGTGCACTTTTCTAAGCGCTTGGGACTTCTGTCAGCGGCGGCCCCGATGGGCCCGTGCGATTATATATATATATATATATATATACAGGCCTTCTGTGCACAACAGACGGCAGGCAACGCGCGCGTATTCAAGGTGCGCGCGTTCAAAGAGCGCGGGAGTAAAAGATCCCCGTTGTTTCCAAATTTCAATATTTGCCGATGTTTTTTTTCCCATTCTTTTTGACGACGAAACCGCGGAAAACGGAAATGCGCCACAAAAGTGTTTCTTGTTATTCGAAACTTGGAAACACATTGGGAAAGAAGAGATATTATGATAGTGATAGACTAAAGAAGCCCCTTGCACAATGGAAGGAATAGCGATAGCGATAGAAATAACACAGTTTTAGACACAGAATTACAACTGGTCGGAAATTTTATCGCTTATTCTGATTTTCTGATCTGTGCATTGATACATGTGTATTTTTTTATATTAGATTCCGCTGTTCCTACCGTTATTTATAAATATAAACTAAGGGGAAGGATGATATGGTACATTATGTGGATGATTGCGAGACAAGTAAGGAATGGTTTAATATACCAGGCAAAGACAAGAGGGAAAGAATTGAAAACATATTCGATGATAAGCTAGGAAAAGAAAAAGGTAGGGTTTTGTTAAGGCTGTGGGGAAAGAAAAAGAAAAAAGACTCAGAGAGAAAAGGAAGGTAGAAAAAGAAAACTCTAGTCAGATGGTGGAAGAGGAGGAGGAAAGAGAGGTAGATTAAAAGAAAGGAAGAACTAGGAAACGTATAAGGGCTAAGGGTGGAGAAGAAACTAATTTAACTAAGATAAGATAAGTTAAGGTATATAAGATATATAAGAAAAACAGAGTAATATATAAGATGATGTAATATATGAAATATGTCCGCGAGGGAGGAATATAGGAGGGCGTGTGTGTAAGATAAGATAGGGTAAATTAAAACCAAACCAAAGCTGTGATACTTTGTATGTTGTAAAGTATATATTTCAAAGGGTAGGTTAGAAATAAGAAGGAGAGAAGAGATTAGACAGAGCAGGTCAGAGCAGGAAGGGTAATAGAGATAACGTGCGTACGCAAAAATGAGATATGCAATAGGATAAGATATATGTGGAAAGAAAATTGTAAGAAATGTAACCAAGTTCCCTTCTTGGCCGTCAGGCTGAAGGATTAATAAATAATAAATTAAAAAATAAATATAAACTCTTTACAACTGTTATTATTTCTATCGCTATCGCTATTCCGTCCATTGTGCAAGGGGCTTAAATACACACACGATGTAAATAAAAGAAGAAAAAAACTTCTGTAAATTTTTGTTAGAACGTGCGTGAAAAAAAAACTAAAGCGCGTAAAAAAAAAAAAAAAACGCACGAATTTTGACGTAACAGCCGTGATGCCGGAGCACGCGCAAGAGGATCGGCAAACTGCGACGTACGGTCATCGTATGGTCAATAGAACTTCTGTGTTAGACGTTTCCTAGTTTGCAAGCTTGTATTTACTCGAGTTAAGGTTTTGAAGCACGTACGAATACTGTTGAGCGAGGTAAATTTGTTCGGTGCCGTTTTGAAGCGCACCGTGGGAAATTTATTTAATTGCATTCAAAATCTCGAGTTCTCGCGCCAACCCGCATGTGGGATTGTCAAATTTATGGACAAAAAATTTAATTTCTCGACACCGACGCGCGTTCAAAACGAAATTGCACTCGACGCCACTTGTATCCGGGTGCAAAAAAACAATTAAGCTACTTGTATCCGGGCGCAAAAAAACAATTAAAAATGAGATTTTCCAAAACGTCAGAAAAATGAAGACACGCACATTGTCTTAAATAAGGCTGCTTTCCTTTTAAGAGACACAGTCGACACAAGTCGACACAAAAGTCATTCTGTCTTCGTTCAATATTCAGTGAGAAACAAAGACAGAATGAAACTTGTGTCGACTTGTGTCGACTGTGTCCCCTAAAAGGAAAGCAGCCTAAATAAGATCTATTTGCAAACGCCGCTCTCTTTGAGAGATTCTCAAAAGTGAATCAAACATCGCATCACACCGCGCTAATAAAAGTGTATTGTCGTCTCTTTTGTGCTCGTCATTCTGTATCTTGTTCCACATCGACTAATTAGCGATTTTTTCACTTCTAGATAAGACTAAACTTCTAGAAGTTTTCGATAACTTTGTCTAGAAGATATCTCCCTAAAATTGGTTCTCCTTATTGGTTCTCAGAGGAATTTATCCAGAGGATAGCTATATCGAAAGATGTATGAAGAAATCGGCCGTAAGTAATTCAATGCGGAGAACGATGCCTTTAGTTGTTTGAAACGCGAGCTAAAACGCGATCTCTAATTTTCTTTATATAACACGCATTTGCGTGCGTACGCAACAACTTCCCACCGTACACACACGCACACACACAAAAACGCACAAGTTAACGCACGCGAAAAAAGATTCTCTTCGATCCTCGAAACCATCGATAAAAACATCATCATTCGCGCCTGTGATTCCATCGCCGTTGGCGCCGATAATTGGACATCTTTATCCGCGAGAGATTACGACAGAGATTTAAGACTTAAACCCCGGCTTTTCGCCACATTGTGCGGATTTAGCCACGTTTGTTGTTTTCTTTTTTTTTTCTTCTTCTTTTTTTTTTTTTTTTTTTTTGAAATTAGCCCGCATTTCACGGATCGTGCCTAAATGCGGGGCGATCCTCTTTCCGCGTTACCTGAAACCCGCGGCGGTCTTATCCCTTTCCCGTCAGTCAGGATTGCAGAAGCATCGTTGTTCCCAACGGCGAACAGGTTTCCCTCTCGCTCGCCGCCGCCGCTCGCGCGCGCGTAATTCGCCGCGCTCCAGTGTCCACGGGACGGACGAGGATCCACGATGACTGACTCGATCCACTGACGAGTCACCAACGTTGGGCCACGGTTTATGACACTGTGTACGCGGATGATGACATACACGGCGGGAATACCCGCCGGGAGAGGAAGTTCTCTCCGTCACTCTTTGTCTTTCTCTGCTCTCTCTCTCTCTCTCCGCGCCGCTCTCTTCCTCGTCTCCCACGCAGTCCGCAATCGGTGAACCCTTCTGCGGTACTCGTGAACCGAAGAGAAAGGAAACGAAGTGTGTGTGTGATAGAAAGAGAGAGAAAGAGAGAAACTTGGAAACGTGTCGTCTTGTTTCACTCGCGGTTTGACACTTGAACGGCCAACTGTGGACGGAGAAGCGCACAGGCAGGTAAACGTACGTGCCGTTCCCTCTGGCTCTCGTGTGGCGAGTAAGTCTGCCCTCCAACACCTGGAACCAGCGCCTAACGCTGGTTCGTTCGCCGAGTACAATGCCTTCTATATATATGTATATGTATTATATATATATATATATATATATGTATTGGGTGTCCTTTTTTAAAACACCGCCTACCTCCGTACTCTACTATTGCCTTCAAGCCGACGAGGCCGTAAGCCTCTCCCTTTCTCTTTCTATCTCTTTCTATCTTTCTCGCTTTTACGAGGACACTCTCCGCTCTCCTAACCAGGTAGCAGCCAGTGATTCTCATTTCATCCAGGTGAGAAGTCCCAATCGCTTCCAGAGTTGTCGCGTGTAGTTGTTGCGCAGTTTACGGAGAACTTTCGATAAAAGTTCCTCCTCCCCATCCACATCCACGTCCTGTCTGTCTATTGTCTAAAAGTTTGCTCGCGGTTTTGTTACAAGGTACGCAAAGCGTTTACATCTGACGTAAAACAAAAACATTTGTTTTTTTTTAACAAAAGCAATAATCGCGTAAATTAGCGCGAATTATTTATTCCGAATTAAATTTAAATTTTTATCGGATTTTTAATCCACAACTCTCTCATTCCTCTCGTGTGTTCTGGTTTTACACAGATTTCGCATAAAAAAAAAAAAAAAGACGTTCTCTCACATTTCGCACTTTTGCGCAATCTATCGAAATATTGATTAGACTTTAAATAAAAATAATAATAACAAGGTCTATGTGACTTTTCATGCGTTCATCTTACGTCTTTTGTTTTTCTTCTTATATTACACGAGCGTATTTTTGCTATCTTCTGTTTTTTTTTTTGTTTTTTTAAGAAGAGACGCAGGTCTCGCGAAATGTTTTATCTTTACCTCTTCACTCTCTGATTTTGTTTTTTGTTTCATTTCCCGTTTTCTTTACATTGTCAGTCTCTTTGTAGACGCACGCATTTAATATGCGGATCTGCGACAACGCAGACGCGCGGATACAGTTGTTGCGAAGTCGTTAAAACAATTAGTAACACGAGAGAATTCGGTCAGTCGAATTACGCGTTATCTCGCGCGCACGCGTACAGTTCGCGAGAGAGAAGGGAAGAAGAGTCTTGAAGTTTTTTTTTCATTCAATTTTTACGAAACCCGTGATTTAGAAGGCAATTTAAACACAAATCATTTTTCGAAATCAGAAAAGTTTAGCGCCTACATACACAGTTGCTACGTTAGATAAGTTTGTTTGCGGACGCGGATTTCCTGTCGCGAATAATTACACGTAATTTATTTATAGACGTTGAATATTGAATTTTATTAGTCGTACGTTTCAGCAATGTTTTTTTTTTTTTTTTTAGATCGATAGTTTTTTTCTTTACAACATTGATGAGTTTGTATACAAACATTATAACTTAATTTACATTTGACAATATGTTTTTAACGACAAAAATTTTATGACACTTTAAGATCGATTAAGTACGCTGCGTTGAGCACAAAACAGATTGAATGAAAATAAAACACTATCTTTTATGTGTTTTATTTTTTATAATATATACATACAACGCATATGTGATAAGTAAAAAACGAAGACCCAAGTCTCAGGATATTTAAAATCCAAAACAATGAAAAACACGGTCGACCTACGTGTACGGCCGTGTTTTCCACTTTTTACGTGTTAATTATTTAATGATAAAAGTATTTATCATTGATTCTATATAATTATATGATTATTGTATATGTCTAGAAACAAGAAATATCATATTTATTAATATCACAAAAGTTTTTACCGTTTTTTTTTTTTTTTTTCTATTTCTCGACTGATACATCGGTAAGCTCATCGGATGCTATTCAAAAGACACACTGGAAGACCGCAACGCGCCTATAAAAACGACTCGTAAAGAGCATGCGAACAAAAATATAGTATTTATATATTTCCTTTCTTTTACAAAAAAATATATATGTTTGAAAAAATAGTGTACACTCTGTTTCTCTTTACCTGTGCACAGAAATGTTATACTTCATCTGATAAACTTTCTATTTTTTAAAGTTTATATCTTTTTTATTCTTGTTAATACTGGGAGTTAAAATAACTCAAATATTTCTAATATCAACTTCATATTCTGATATGAAAATGTTTTTTTCTCTTCACAATTTACACACATAAAATATTTTGGTAATACTTTTGCGCTGTAAAAAAATTGAAGTCATATTTGTTTCTATTTAACAAACCTTGGCTTCTTCGAAGAATCTTTTATGCAAAGTGTCTTTTATATATATATCTTACTCTGTTTAATTTATTTTAATAATTTGCTGTTTGTGCTATATTTTGTTTTTTTTTTAATGAAACAGAGTTGTGTCTTACTCCTATAACCCGGTGATCACAGATTATTGCGACTAATTTTTTTTGGGAGAATATTTATCGTTATTTTTGTTTTCTTTCGTACATCTCGAACGGTTTTTATTAATACGTAAGTATTATATAAATAAAATCAGTAGCCAAAATATATATATGTGTAACAACTATTGGTATTCGCATTTCATTAGATAAATCTCACATCTCGTTAGATAAATTGTTAGATAAATATCACATTTCAGTTTAAATCAAACTCAAAAATTGTTACTATTGACGCGTTATTATATCTTAGACTAATTCGCAAATACAACTTCAATATAGATCTAAGTAAATTAACAATATAACATGTATAAAATAACTATAAAAAACATATGTTTGTGTAAATTTATAAGGCGTAAAATACACAAATGTATTGTTTGTCCAAGTCTGGTATATGTTAATCTGTGTCATGTGATTGTTTTTAACCCCAGAATGCACATTCTACAGTTTTTGCTTCGATAAAACGCGCATCGCACAGAGTTCTGACGGACTTTAAAGTCGCACAGTTCTATTCGCAAACAAATCATTTTCATTTAAAAAACGTATGGAATCAAAACGTCGGACTGTAATCAAAACGACTTCATGATCAATTTATATCAAAATTGATTGAAGTTTTCACCCACGTCGCGATGTTTGTTACTCGCGCGAAGTTCTTACAGCTCAGCTGTCTGTACGAAGTAAACACCTTGGAAGTAAACGTGGCACAAAAAGATCCATACGCGCGTGAATAAAAATGCACAAACGTTTGAGTGTGCATTCCAGAGTTAACATTATATCGCGCTTATTTAAAGCCGTAACATACAAATATATTTGACTTTTTAAGATGGTTTTTTTCTGGTCTAGAACCAAAAAGATCTCGATTGTTTGTTTCTTCTGTTTTCGAAACGGTCATTGTTTTCGCTGTCTAGATCAAAAAATCTTCCCAGTACGTTAATATTAACACTCAAAACAACAAAAAATAAAATATAAACGCTAAAAATTATCAATTTATATATAAATTTCCACACACTTAAGATCATTAAATGTAATTCCGCTTAAAAAAAAAAAAAACGATATAATTAAAATAAATATAATTAAAAACACCCGCGCGAAAGAATTTCTAACACATTTTTCGAGCACTCTGTGTAAATGAGAAAATATATGTAAATATGAATATACGTTTGATCATACATGCACTTTTTTGTTGAAAGAATGAAAATAAAAACAATACGTAACACGCAAATACATACACTCGATAGTAGTTTTTTTTTTTTGTTTGATAAGTGTTTTTTAAACGGTTGTAACATTCGTTACCTCGATTCTAGAGATTGGTTTCGCCGGTTCTACAATTATAAAACCCTCCTGGTCGTTCGCGGTCTCGCCGATTCGGAGTTGTTGTAAATTCGCCACGATTGAATCTACCTGAACCGGTTGATTTGGCAGAGTCGCGTCGTTCCTGAGTTTGCTGAAGTGAAGATAACAAATGCCGCGATAACCCTGCCAAATTATTTCGCTCGGTTTAACGCCACGTTCCGAGAGCGCGTTCTTCAGATCGCGGACTCTCACGCCGGACGATATGTTGGAGAGTTTAAGAGAGAAATCAATATGTCCTTTCGTTTTGCCGCGAAGATTTTTACGCCGTTGTGACGTGCCGTTGTCCTCTTCCGTTTTCGTCTGCAACACACATAAAGCAACACACATAAAGCAAAGATTATTATAATTTTCCAAGAAGAAAGATAAAAGTTTTTATTTTCAAATAAACGTTGCATCTTCGCAATTAACTTCTCATCAAAAATTTGTACAAAAAAAAAAACAAGTTTTATCAAACAATATTTATAAACAATATACTCACTTTCGTCTTCTTGTACGCCCGTTTTCGTGGAAAACGTGGCTTATCGACCTCTCCGTCACCTTCCCTATTAGAGTTTTCCACATTAGGTGCGTCTTTACTCACGTTAACACGCCGTTTGTTCCTTGGATTTTTAACGCGATTCTTGATATACTGACGTGTCTCCACGTCCGAATCAACTTCCTTCAGAGCTACAATTTTGCCATCTCTGCGGAAAAAAACAGCATCGTGTATTCGCGCGTAATAAATCTCACTTTACTCGTGACTCGATTAATTCAATAATTGCATACTTTTCATCCATCTGCCTGAGCTGCTGCAATATCTGCATGGATTTGAGTCTTCTTTCGCTGAGCATGTGCCACAGAATGCCGGATGGTTTCTTCAGTCTCTGCCCAACGAAAATAATCTGCGTCGGCGTGACGATTATGTCAACCGGTACGTCGTACTCTTTGAACAATTGTTGCGGCAAGTGATCTACAACTTGGCAATCGTGCACGGTCGTGATTACGGTTGTATTATCTGATATCGCGCCCATTCTCATCATCATTGCAAACTCGAGATCAGCAAAACCCTCGCCTTTGCCGAGCCTATATCCGTCCCGGCTGACGCACACAGATCCCAGTACAACCAGATCCACCTAAATAAAAAGTAATCAACCGTTTTAAATAAATCATGATGACATTTTTCAACAATCTAGCGTCTTATAAATGAATTTAATTCTCATCGCACATCAATATGAAATAATCATGAAATCTCTTTTACATTATAAATGATCTTTGTGTAACAAACTATATAAATTTACCTTAATATTAGATTCAAGTCCCAGTGGTTTGCCATATTGCTCCATGCCACGCATGGAAGCCAGCGTTTTTAATTGACCTTTTGTCGCGCCACCAATTGGCGTGACATGCCGAAACAAGCCAGATCTTAACCTGGGAATAGGCACGATAATTTCCTTGTTAGCTTCCAGAGCTAAAAATCGTACCGGTTCCTGTGGCTTGTCCGGATTAATCTTTATGATTCTTGCCTTCTTGAATTCATCCAATTCGGCCAATCGCTGAGCCGCTTCCGCAGCACCTTTGAAGTTTGGGATACGATGGTATATGTTCGTAGGAAAACTGTTTGCAATTTCGTTCTTTGTCATGTAGTCCCACACCCGTCGACGAAAACTCGACTTGGTTACTTCCTCGGCTGTGGGAAATCGTCGTTATAAGTGACAGTAAAAAAATGCACATTAATATATTTTCGAACATACAAGACGCTGTGTCGTTGCAACTAATTCATATAAGACAATTTTAAATGCAAACGTGTTTCATACATTAAAAAAAAAAAAACAAATGTATAAAACACGTGTACACGCCAAGAATATTTAAATTTTTTTTATTTTGACAGCAAACAACATTCTTTGTGCAACATCGCAAGTAGAGGCAAGGGTTTTGTTATGCTTCAATTGCGTCAAAAATTACTCACGCAAATTCTCGGTCATTTTGAGCAATGAAATCTTGAGCGAGATACACGAAGAATCACGGCGACGGCCGTGCGAAACGTTTTGTATATAAAAATAGATCGCACACGATCTTTCTATCTCTTGTGATCTATGTGCGCGCGGCCCTTTTCCCTCTATTTCTACAACGCGAACTCATGTTCGCAAACTCCGCAAAACGTTATTCTCTAGAAATTCCGGTTTTTGTCGAATGTCGATAAATTCCTCACAAAACGCTCTGTCGGAACGCGATAAAAAGGAACGTGTTTTTTCTTTTTTTTTACATACAGCGCATTATGTATTTTCTCTTGTAAGAGTGACAGCAAATGATCGGCGGGCCGGAAAAAATGACAGAAGCGAGACCAATGATCGAACAAATCAGCTGATCGGCACGTGCCATCCGTACGTCGAATACTAGGGGAATTAAGTGTCAGACAGCCGAACCACCAATCGTGTTTAGAAGCACAATCGGAAACCTTTGATTTCTCTCAGATTACAAAACGTGCAGGGAATTTGGAGGAAAAATCTCTAGATTAAGCTCGTTCCGTATCTTTTTATCTCGCCGACTAGTACTCATCGATCCACAAATTATTATCTTTGTATAAGATAATATGCAACTTGCGCGCGAGTGTGTACGTGTGTGTACGTATTTCATACACATGTGAGTTATATATATATAGATATAAAATGGTGTGTACTCTTGATTAGCAGTGGTTTATCCTAGTAGTTAACCGCAAACTCCTGTTGAGTGTGGTTGAGCGTATGTCAATCGTCAACTTGACGAAGTTATTTGTTGCGTATACAAAGTTGTATACTTATTAAATGTTGATATAATAAAAGTTAACACGAAGTTAACTTAAATATTTTGCGAAAACGCTTGCAATTTCAAAGACGAACGAAAGTTTAACTAGAATGCCGTTGGCAACTCTAACGGCTCCTTGGACTGAGCACTGTGCAAATGAGAAGGTAAATTCCGACGAATTTCGAATGGTTTTTGCAATTTACAACGTTACCGAAACTGGTCGTTGAGAAGACAAGAAATCTTGCAATTTTTTTTTGAATCAAGTTTATCTTAGCTTTTCTTCAATAAAATATGTTACACATCAAAGTCACATCCCTTTCCTTCTCTCATGTTTTTTTGTTTGTTTTTTTCCAGCAAAGTACGGAGATTCTTCCGGCCGAAAATCAGGAAGAAACGATGATTACTCAGGGACATTTAAGTGATAGATCCAATGGGTGTTCAGAATCGCATGAGATTGAACTACGTGAGATGGTTCGGGATGGTTACGAGAAAGCTGAACCATCTCACTTTGAACTGTTAAAAGTTCTTGGTCAGGGATCTTTTGGCAAGGTAAGAGTGACACATATGTGCCATAAAAATTTTAATACAGGGTGTGGCAGAGGGGACAGATGGTACACTCGAGCAACAGATGACAAATTGCATCTTCTTACCAAGTGCCCATATACGCAAAAAATGTTTAAACTTGAATTTTTTCAAAACTGAACACTAGACAAAAACATTTTATTATGTATTTTTTAATTTAATTTCGCACTAGGAATCAGTTCTTGTCTATTACCATCTGTTCTGCTGCATTCTGTATATTTTAAAAGTTTTTATAGTGTGGGATAATTATATGTGAGATAATCTTTAAACTCTCGTTTTCTCTTACAGGTATTTTTAGTAAGAAAAATTGTTGGGAAAGATAGTGGCACACTATATGCCATGAAGGTTTTAAAAAAGGCAACGTTAAAAGGTACATTTATCTTTCGAAAAAACTAATAGCTTTCTAGGGAATGCATCTCTTCAAATAATTATTATTTCACAACCGTTTTTCTTTAGTGCGTGATAGAGTTAGGACCAAAATGGAGAGAAATATATTGGTGGATGTGGAACATCCGTTTATTGTTCGATTGCAGTATGCGTTCCAAACAGAAGGAAAACTCTATTTAATTCTAGATTTTTTACGAGGTGGCGATCTCTTTTCCAGGTTAAACAAAGAAGTGAGTGTTGTTCGAAAATCGATTGCATTGTATCGTTGCCCCGTACGAATGATTTGGGCACTCAATAATAATTACATAAATGTGAACATCTTGTGTTTTAGGTCATGTTCACGGAAGACGATGTTAAGTTTTATTTGGCCGAGTTAGCACTCGCTCTTGATCATATACATAAACTGGGAATTATTTACCGAGATCTGAAACCTGAAAAGTTTGTATTGCTTGTGCGATTTGTATAATTTTTTTTCATACGTACTTTTACGTTCCTTATTACATATTTTAGTAATTTCTCTTTTGTTTTTATACAACAGTATTTTATTAGATACAGAAGGCCATATATCTTTAACAGATTTTGGCCTAAGCAAACAACCTTTGGATGATTCAAAAACATATTCATTTTGTGGAACTGTTGAATATATGGCACCAGAAATTGTCAACAGGAAAGGACACACTTTCACCGCGGATTGGTGGAGTTTTGGTGTTTTAATGGTTAGTTAAGTGTTTTATATATATATATATATATATATATATATATATATGTGTGTCTGTATCGTTTTTGTGGCACAATTATATAACACGTGAGAGATATAGACGTTGAAACATTTTAAAATACATTTCTCGCCCTTTACTATTTTCAGTTTGAAATGCTGACAGGTGCTCTTCCGTTTCAAGGTGCCACTCGCAAAGAAACAATGACGCAAATCTTGAAGGCTAAATTAGGAATGCCACTCAATATCTCACCAGAAGCACAGGCACTTTTAAGGGTATTGTTTAAGAGAAATCCAGCAAATCGTCTTGGTTCTGGTATTATAAAGAGACTTGCATATATCATTCTATTATATAATTGACATATCTTACGAACGTTTGACATATCTTATAAAAATTTTTGTATTCTTGTATATGCGCAAAAGTACATGTCTCTTTATTTTCAGGAGGGACAGAAGAAATTAAAAATCATATTTTCTTTGCTACCATTGACTGGGATGCTCTTTATAAAAAAGAGATAAAACCGCCGTTCAAGCCCGCTATTAAAGACGATGATGCGTTTTATTTTGATAGTGAATTCACCTGTAAAACACCAAAAGGTGACTTTAAAAAAAAAACAACAACCAGTAGACTGGATATGTAAGCAAAGTGATGATAAATATAACAGTTTAATGTTTTTACAAAAGAAATTTTCACGATCTTCTCAGATTCTCCCGGTGTGCCGCCTAGCGCAAATGCTCACGAATTATTTCGCGGGTTCAGTTTCATTGCGCCGGGTTTGCTTGCGGATGTGGATCACGCCAAATCACCGGACTTTAGGAATTACGGTAGCATCAGCGCTACCTTTCCGTCTTACGTCAATTCGACTTCCATAACTGACGAATACGAATTCAAACATGAGATTGGCAGAGGAGGATACAGCGTGGTGTATCTAGCCGTTCATACATCAACCAAAACGGAGTACGCGGTGAAGGTATCTTTTGACACTGCTCGGAAATATTGAAAAAAAAAAAAAAACAAACAAACAAACAAGTAGACATAGAAAAATCATTGAACAATTGAAATAGGTAATTGAGAAATCTAGCCGAGATCCAACGGAGGAAATAGAGATTCTGTTGCGATACGGTAGACATCCTCACATTGTAACACTTAGAGCGGTCCACGAGGACGATAAACGTGTGTATCTTGTGTTGGAACTTTTGCGCGGTGGCGAACTTCTCGATCGTTTGCTACAGCGACGAAACTTCACCGAACGCGAAGCTGCCGAGGTTATTCACACTGTCACCAGCGTAATACATTATCTTCACGAGAACGGAGTAAGTATAACGTATGTATGTACGTATGTATATACGGTGCGTATTTTATGACATGGCACATCTTCACGTATTTGTTTGTACGCTCACATCCGTCTCTACGAAATGGAGTTTATATTATTGTTGCACTAAAAAAAAGAACAAAAACAGGTGGTTCATAGAGACTTGAAGCCGTCGAACATTCTGTACGCAAAATCCGGCGGTGATCCAACGACGCTTTGTATATGCGATCTTGGTTTTGCGAAACAATTACGTGCGGAAAATGGATTGTTAATGACGCCTTGTTACACAGCTAACTTTGTGGCACCCGAGGTGCTGAAACGTCAAGGATACGACGCGGCGTGTGACATATGGTCACTCGGAGTTCTCTTGTACATTATGTTAGCTGGGTATGTTGGAAAAAACAAAGTTGGGAAAAATTTTGATTATTTATTCACGTGCGATCAAACCGAGATTAAATTTGAGATTCTCGTCACACGTACAAACAGATATACGCCTTTCCGCAACAGTCCGGGTGATAGCGCGAGCGATATATTAGACCGCATCGGTCCGGGATACATTGACGTGGAGAGCGGTATATGGTGTCACATTTCGAACGAAGCTAAGGAACTAGTTAAAAGGATGTTACACGTGGATCCAAATCGAAGGCCTACAGCAGCCGCTATTTTAAAATCTCCCTGGATTGTAAATCGACATCGTCTTCCTCAAAAAGTATTGCCTGATGTTATAAAAGATCCTCATAGTCTGAAGGTATGTATAGAACGTTTATATATAATAATTCCTCAAGTATAAAAATAGTCAACAATATTGTAGCAAGATGTTTGATCCAAGTAAAAAAAATCTTGCATTTCAGATAGCGGTGGCGGCGACATACAGAGCAATGGCGCATAATTCAAGATTACCTCATATCGGTCCTGTGGTGATGTCCGAATTGGCACGTCGCAGAACACAAGGCAAATCTACCGGTCCCACCCAAGTTTAAGATTATATCTTATCATGTTTCTTGTATATTACAAATTTAACTTGTATTTTAAGATTTCCAAAATGGAGATAGAAAAAAAAAAAAAAAAAAAAAAAAAAAAAAAAAAAAAAAAAAAAACAAATGTTTAAAGTACAAGCGATGGAGAGTTTAAAATGATGAGATGATATGACATGTATGACATCAATGTGGTGTCTCGAAACGTTCCTGACAGTGAGCGCCGAATGTGATATTTATTTCTAGTTCTCCATTGTGTTTTAAGGCTCCTAAGTCGAGTTGTGGCTTAGAAGTAAGAAATTTTTATTTTATTTGCATGTCAACTCTCGCACACTTTTAATAGTACAAATTGGTAAAATGTATCGAAAATTCTCTCTCTGACTCGTAGTAACTTAAATAAATAGAAATTTAAATAAATAGCCATACATCTTGCTCAACGTAAAAACAAAAAAGTCTATTTTCGCTGGAAATTTACAACATGTACATGTAGGGAGTACGTATCGTGTAACATGTAAAATTGTTAATAGATAAAAAAAAAAACAGAGACGAATATATTTCCGATATATTTTATCATTTTTTAGATACTATGTCAAAATACGCACACCGGTATGTCAAAAAAAAAAAAAATTAATTTATGGTGCAAGAAAAATTATATAAAATTATATAAATTCTTGTTTCTGTGTCGTTAGAGAAATCAACGCGGTTCTCTCTGCAGAGAGAAATTAGGAGCCTTATAATAATATCTATACGCATATATATATTATACATATATATATACATATATACACGCACACACACCTGTGTTAATCAAACGTTGCCATGGCTCTTGAAAGAGCAAATAATTCCGGTAATAGAAAGTTATTTTATTGATATTTCTTTAGATCTTTTACATTATTTTTTATATTTAATTATATATATGTACATACATACATATGTGTACATATATGTATATATATTTTTTCAGTGTAATATTTTTAAATATAAAAAAAAAAAATGTTGCTTGAAAATAATGGCATTCAAAATTAGCAGAATTCGATAATCCGACTATATATTTAAGAACATAAAAGTATTTTGATGTATTAACATTCAATCATGTAATCATATAAAATATTTTACCTGTGCAATGTGTAGTTATAGATTGAATTTAATTTTCTATAATTAAATGTATACTAATAATATATATATTTCCGCCTAAGCATTATTTATATTATGTTACACCATTTAAAAAAATCGTTTATGAGAAACTCGAGGTATTTGTAAGTATATACATACGTTGTATATGGTCTGATAATTACGCACCATAATCGTATGAAAATTTCTATAATTTTATTAGTTTATTTAAGTTTGATATATTTAGTTTTATATATATATTTAATTGATATATATATATATAAATTTGTTAAATAAATTAATAACATTGCACTGAGATTATAATCTTTTTTTTTTTATACTAGCACAACACAGGCGCGCGCTACGCGCACGCTATTGTTATTTTTATTTAACGTATTGTCAGTGAACACAATCTGTCACCGCAATGACAGATGGTATATACGTCTTATAAACCATATAATACACATATGAGAAATGTCAGAAATAACGCATGAAAATCAAACTCAAAAAATAGTGAGAGAGAGAAGTGGAAAAACAACACGTGACAGGTAAAAAAGAGAATATTATATATATTATATGTAA